AGCGAACAAGTTGCACGCAATGCTCTGAAGACATATAGGTCTATGGTTGTCGGGGTCGGCAGGGTCCCCTTTCAACAGCATTGCAACGGAAACCGTGGCCCAATCGCCAGGTATCACCCCGTTTCGCAAGCAATGATTGCACAAATCAAGAAGCCACTGCAAAGCTGAATCCGGATCCATTGCCAGAGCCTTGAATACCTCGATCGGAATATCACGAGGTTTGGTAGCTTTGCCATTCGCCATTTGTTTAACGACTTTTCGCAGCTCAGCGTAGCTGAAATCGCACCAGTTCACATCCAAAGATTCTCCCAAAGGCGCCTCGGTACCTGGAACTAACGTCGCTGGCCGGATCCTCCACTGATTTTTTCCGGGTGTTCGGCCAAAGTTTCTGCCCAAAGTTCCGAAAAAAAAACAGGAACCCCTTCAATGTTTCTGAGGCGACCCTCCAATCTCCAGACGACACCAGGCCCTCAAGCCATTTTGAACGATCATCTTTCGCCGACTTTTTGACATCACTTCGCAGCTGTTTCTACAAGTTCCAGTTACCGTTTGCTCGGGCTTCACGACGGCGACGTAGAAGTTCCAGCGTTCGAGAACTGATCCACGGTTTATTTGCTCTGGCGCTCAAGATGGGCACGTGTTGTTTGATAGCTGTTGCAACCGTGGAGCAAGCTGTATCCCAAAATAAGTTTGCATCTGTAATCTCGACATCCTGCAAGTTTGTTGAAATATCTTGGCAAAACGCCCGTCGAGTTTCAGGGTTTTGTAGAGTGGCCCAGTCCCTGCGAGAAATATTGCAATGGGTAGGACGGCTCCTCGAGAATTCCATCTGGAGCTTGGCGGTAACTGGGAATTGACTTGAAGCAAAGGTTGCGAGCCGGTCGCTGGAAACATGGGAAAAGTCGTTGACATCCCCTCGGGAAACAAGCGGCGCAAGGGGTGGAACCCCAGGCTCATGATAGGTGACCTTCTTGTCCACGGGGACGCCGCAGAAAGTGCTTGCAATTTCTAACCCGTGAATGGTACAAAACTTTAACAGAAAGTCGAATTGGGCATGTCCACCTGGTGTCTGGCTTCTGATGGGCCAATCCGTACATTGAAATCACCAAAGAAGTACTTGGGGCGATTTGTCGAAGTAATTTTCGACGCGACCTGATTGAGTTTCTCGTAAAAACTCCTATTTCTCCTGCTGCGGTCTCAAGTTATGCGGAGCAAGAACCGTGATAATTGCGATGGCCCCACCTCCGCATTTCAATTTCAGGCTAGCGATTCGATCATTTATTTGACAGAACCCTCGACGATGGCGCCTGAGACGCGGAAAAATGACAAATCCCACTCCATACCAATCAGTGGGACCGTCAGAAGAACCTGAAAGAATAAATTCATAGCCATTGCAGTCAAACACATCCGATTTGCTCCCTCTGGTTTCTTGCAAACAGCAAACATCAACATCGAAGCGAAACATGTAGTCAATGATCCCAGTCTCCTTGAGTAGGGATAGCCCCTCGATGTTCCAAGACATGATATTGAGTTGGCTCATATTGCGGACACCACCGCTGCCTTTCTCAAAACTGTCCGTTGCTGACCCCCAGCAATGGGGTGAAACATTTCCCATGTTGTCCACACGCCGCCGTGGCCCCTACTCGGGGCCTTTGCCCTTCCCCTTGTTGGAGGCGCGAGCTTTTGCTTTTTTCAAGCGTGTCAAAGCTTTGCTCGTGATCTCAGCCAGTTCGGTTGACTGCTGTAGCGCATCCCATGTCTGCCATTCCCCATTACACCAGTCAACACTCAATGAAAAGTTTGGACATACACTTTGACAATCTCCCTCCCAGTGACCGTGAGGATGCCCGTGCGGATGTCGTACTTGATGCACGCTGGATTGACATTCCAAGAAATGAGCACGCGTTTCATGGCACACAAAGCACCTTCTACAGCGCGAATGTTGAAAGGCAAGTCAACCTTAGCGAAAAGCTGGGCTGGCAAAGGTTCTCCGCCATTGGAGGCCTTGGCGTGTTTTGCGGCATCACCAATGCTCTGGATGAAACGGTCACGGTTAGCTTCACTTGACACTTCACGAACACCACGTTGGAAAATGGCCCCTTCGAGTCTACATCTGATGGACCTATCCCCGAAGCACGGCAATGTTTGCCCAGCCACTCACTTGCCTCATCCAATGTGGACGCTTCCGGGATATTCCCTACCACCATGGACAAGAACCTGGAGCTATCAACTTCCTGACCACAAGGGGATTCCTTGCTGACCTGAATTTTACGCATCTTCTGCTCCAATTCCGTCACGCGAGCTACGGTATCGGTCATCATTTGTTCAGTTGACGTGATGCGCAAGCCCATGTGTTCCAATTCCACGCGTACAGATTCTTTGAAGGCAGGCAAGTCAAAGCGAATCTGTTCCAAGAATTGGCGCAAGGGATTCAGTTTCTTATCCTGATTCAATCGTGCTCAAAGAAACAGATTGTGATGGCCCCGCGCAATTCACACCAGTGATGTGGACATCATCATCAAGCCCTGCATCCCCTCGCAGCTTCTTTTGCAGCGGACGTTTGATTGGTGTTCCCATGCCTCTGTACCCCACAACAACTCTCTCAAACAGGAGGTACTTGAGCCAAAGCATAGTGGAGAAGTTGCAACAACTTGGATTTGGAACCCGCCGCTGTGGCAATCTTGTCATCAGCATAGTGGTGGCGCATGCCCTTCTGCCGTTCCCGGACGTGCTCAAGGCTAACAGACTCCACCCAATTGCCCAACTGAAGAGCAAGGGAGTCGGGGCACCTACTGACCTCAGCCAATGAAGGCAGGAACCTACGAAGAGAAGAACTGCACATCGGTGGAACCGGAGCCTAAGCGTGTAAGGACATCCCGTAACAAATGTACAGTGCCAATTTGCCATGACACGGGCCCTGGAAGCCTTGCTCCCCAACAGAAATGTCAGGTACAACGAGTCAGCATTCGTGCTGACTCGCCCCAAGCGGGCTCCACCGAAGGCCTCGGCGGCCCATGTGTTCGACAATCATCCAGCATTCATCCACACTTGATGTGTTATCTCCCAGTAATGGGGCCTTTGAAGCAGGACCTGCTTCCCACTGAGCAACAGACGGACCGGCGGGAACGGTCTCAGGCACATATGCACTGCCCTGGGGGTGCTAGAAATCGGCCCTCTATGCAAGGACGCAATGCGAATGCAAGTTGAAGCCACCTCAGCAAAAAGACTCCGGGCCACGGCCTGTAGCTCCTCGGCAGTAAGTCCCTTAAGATCAAGATTATCAAGAAACCCATGCTGCTTCAGCGAGTCTGCAGCCTCAGAAGCAATCGCATCCAACAGTCTTTTGGAAAATGAAGGGATGACAGAATTAGGCGGAATTGGAGCCGCTTCTTCTCCCGATTCAAGATTGGATATGGGCCATGGCCGGAGGTATGTCTATGTTTCAGCATACCCAGAATGGCCTGGACAAGCGCAATGCTAACCTCCCTAGTCGCCATGGCACAGGAGAAGGTGAACACAAAGAAGACAGTGTGCCCACAAGTTATCTCCTTGAGAGAACATGGTGCTGTCATAAGAATGTGCAAGCCAATCCCAACCAGGCCAGTGCACTGAAGAAGCGAAGACGACAACACGCACAGAAGCTGCGGATGCGAGCGACTCGCCGATACGGGGCGGATGTTGAGCAGGTTTTCATGCTTTCGTCCACTATGGGTGTCATGACAAGTATGGGAGAATTTTTCCGCTAGCTTTGAGGCGGCTAGTTTGTACCAGATCGGTTGTATTCTCCATAATTGTAGTACGCAGGGCTGGCGAGGTGCGCCACTCTCTGGGTCACCGTGGGCGGCAGTGGACCGCAAGAGTAAGGCAAGAACTGACGTTACAACCCAAAGAGTGACCGAAAGAAAAGGATCTCCAATATTTATAACTCTGACTGACCTGACATAGCCTTCGCAGCCTGATGAGTCGCATGACAAAAATCAGCCCGATGCACCAAACGATACACGGACTGATCCACACTCGTGAGGTCAGGGAAATCTCTTTGGCCTCCCGCACTTCCACAGCTTCATGAAAGAAGTCGCGCCTTGGCTCACTCGTGCATATCTGACGGTTTTTATGTGTTTTTTCAAACTTGGCCACCTCCAAGTCTTACCTCGTATAATGAACTGCGCTGAGAGGTAGACTTGTTGGAAACCACAAAGTCATTCCCACCTTCTCCTTCTGCAAAGTCCTTTCAGAACTAGAAGTGTGACCAACTCATCTGTGTTCCAGGAGCTGTCACGATGCATAAGCATAGCCGTTGCAGGGCTGCAGTCATATGCCTTGACTATCCTGGTGGCGATGGCAGTGGCGACCGTGGCTGCAGTGGTAATAGTATGATGATTGTAATCTTGCTTGGTTCTATGATAAGCAGTATGACAACGATGATCACCATGGCCGTTCTTCGTCCTCTGCACTGGCCTCGCCGCCACACACTGCCTGCATGGTTGTTGGGATCTTACTCTTCTTACGCAGGGCCAAGTGCGGAGCCTGCTCATCATTGCTTGTCAGGGTCGCCATGACAGGGCACAAAAGCTAAGCCGAAGCTCATCAGACCGGTCTTGAGTTCAGGGCTGGTTGCCTGATGGTGAAACTGAGCAGTCTGAGCAACTGGTTATTTGGCCTGATTTTCTAGATGGCTCAATGCATGGGGCTGCTGGAGCCAGGCCCCATGTCCAGGTAAAAGCATGAGTTGTTTTCTTGGGTCAGCTTTGGCCTTTGTATGTATTGCCTGAATTACTGAAAGCCATAGGGTGCTGGCTTAGGACACCACTAATTAGAACTGGCTTTGTCAGCTTGCATTCTCGTCGCATCCACCGGTTTCCCGGAGCTTGCAAGCCCGTATGACATTATGAATCTCTCCATAACCCAACTAGGAAAGTACAACCATCACATATTCCTTTGCCTGATGTGAGACATATCTTGTCTGTGCTCGCACATCCATTTGTTCAAGCCATCTTTGCCTACCTGGACGTCACGCAGGTTTGCACAAGCTTGGCTCGGTCAAGCAGAGGTCCCGCAGGCACTGCCGCACAAACCTGCCGCCAATGAACGCAACTACAATCACTGCTTTTGCCAACACTATCAAAACGACTCCTCCTCCTCTTCTGGCGGTGACGGCACAGCTGCAGCAACACTAGTACAGCAATTGTGTGTTTGCCTATACAACGCGCACTGGCCCACCCCCTCATCCTCCCCCTGCCTTTTGTTCTACTCCGACTCCTACCACGACTCCTCCTCTGACTACTCCTCCCCTGTTGCTACCATCACCACCACCACGACTACTACTACCACCACCACTAGTAGTGCGAGTGGTACTATAGTACTAATAATATGGCAACTACTTCGACTGTTCTGCTAGCACAAAACATCAAGCAAACATACCGTACAAGCCTTCCTGCCCTAGCAGTGAGCTACAGTGTCCACGACATTGCAATACAAGGCCACCACTCATATTGCTTCACAGAATTACTGTTCGCAGGTGAATTCAAAATAGTTGTTCGACCTTGGGTTTGATGTCTCTTGAGATTGTTTGGACCGAGCTTTGGAGTGGGGTAAGTGTTGGATGGGGGGCGTGAGTTTGAAATGGGTTTAATATGGACCTGGGTGCCTGTAGTGTTTCTTACTTGTATTTCTTTCTTACTCACCTGGCGTTGGCCTCACGTAGAGCTGCCGCGAAGGGCATCACAGCTGCACGCAGCAGCTCAGGGCTCTTGGCCTCAAACTCTAAACAGCTTGATATCAAAAGCTAAGTTGTGGCGGCTGCGACCGACCAGACTTATTTGCAAAGCTTGGACTGGCAGAGTCAGAGCTTCGCGCCATCGCGCCAAGTGCAAAGATGCCCAAGTCCTGCAGAGTCTAGAATGATGGCCGGCTGCCAGACGAGCATGATGTTATGGGGAAATTGCTGCACAATGCTAAAACTTTGGCCACGCATGATCTGGCACTACCAACCGGGGCCCCCTCGAAAACACACGTAATCCCTTCTCTACTTAAAAAGCGTACCCACCTCCCAGTGACTGGGACACGGCCCGATGCGCTTGCGAGCCACAGCGCTGAACTAAGAAATTGAAGAGTTCTCTCATCGATTGACGTCGCTGCCTTCCTGGTAATAAATGCTTGTTTTCATCTATTTCTTTTTGAACACCCTTTGAAAACCCGGAAGCGCTTCGTTCCTTATTTCAAACCCCTGAAATTACCTCAGAATCCTCCAATTTCCAGCTAGCGTAGATTCTCTGGGCGCCTTTAGCAGTAGTCTCTCTCCTCTCGAACGTAGGAAGGAGGATTGTGGGCCTCTGCTCGTGTAATTCATTCCACTATTACAAAATCTTGTTGACCAGTAAGGGGAACAGAGCGGCTGTTAGCGCCATCTGATGTTCTCTTCTCCTTCACGCTGCCCTCGCCTTGGCAGGTCAGCCTCGAAGCGGCTCAGCTGCAGTACGGGGAGCTATATGCAACACCGCCGCACGACGAACAGGGAAGTGTGCATGGCGGTATATGGCGGTATTCTGTAGGCTCGCGGCTGGCACATGAACGGCACCGCAGGACCTGCACGCAGCATCCTTCTTCGTCTCGATTCGTTTCGACTAGCCCGGACTTGTGTTGCGGCACATCTATTTGTGCCTGCATCGCGGCGTACACCTGGGGTGTCAACCAAGTCCACTATGTGAGCGATGGCACCAAGGACCTGAAAACCAAGTGAAAGAGGACCTAGCCGTTTCTGCTGAACAAAGCCACGCCACCCAAACCGGAGCATCGTTCTCAGCGGAACCAAGAACCTGTGCACGAACAGATGGTCTGGCCTTACATTGCCGCCCGTCGCCCGAAACATAACCTTCGCTGTCATGGAATGCTCATATTGGACAGCGGCTAACGCCTGGACCCCTGGAATCACACATCATGCCTCGTACCTGGCATCCTCCTCCCGCAATGCACACACCTGCGGCCGAGGCAGCTTGTTGATCATGCTGTTGTCCAACTTTGGCCAGACCACATGCAGTGCCGCCTGTCTGCCTGGAGCACAGAAACCTCTGCACCCTGCAACCCCTCACTTCAGGCACCTCCTTCAGCTGCACAGCAAGCAGGCCTTGGTGCAAATGAGTTGCAGCTCACTGCAGTATGCGGAATAATGCCTCCTTGTGTGATCTCAGGTGACCAATCCGATGCCTTGAACCATGGCAACTAATCATGATGCACGAAGAGTTGTCGGTTTGAGGTGAAGACAAAGAACTATTCCAGGGAATAGCACATCAGCAGGTTAGTCAGTGTGAAGTCTTGCAGGGACTGAAGTGTGCTAAAAGTACAGGCTGGGCTTCAGTCTTCACACAGTGTGTTCCTGCACATCCAACAGATTGTCAATCATAGCCCCCCGCATCCATCCCACACTCTGGTACCGCTTAGACAAAGAGCCTACAGCACTTCTTTTCCATTGCTCCTGACGCTGCAGCGGTCGTCTGTGCATGAATGCGGGGCTTGGGGTGGCAAGCCCTTTTTGGAGCGGGCCCCGAAAAAATTGCCTCCTGCCGACTCCATGTGCTCTGGTGGCATTCGAGGTAGCGACACGATGCAGGACCAGGTTGCCGCATCCCTTCTTTCTGTCTGCGGCATCTGCGCCACCTCCGTGCTCTCGTGGGATAAGCTCCTTACAAGCTCTCCACACATCATGCTGTCTGCTGCGAGCCCAGCAGCCCTCAAATCTTCTAAGTCAGCACAGCCCGTCCACGTCTGTGGAACAAGTGCTGGCAGATGCCTCGCATCGTCCACCAGCACCATCCCAAAACTGGCCGCAAACCCTGAAAACCCACACTGAAAACCGAAATTGTATATGATTGCAATTGTTTCTCAGCTGCGTCATCTTCATCCATGTGCTGCCAAAACGCTGAGAGCACCGAGCCTTGCCACCTCTGTCGCTGCAGATTTAGAACCGGCAGTGAGGTTCCTCAGTTAGCACCATTCGGAGTTTCTCCAGCATGCATGTTCAGCGGTAGCTACACTGCAGCTAAACACTCCGGGACCCAGCTAGGCCCAGTGCGCAAGGGCGCCAGCAGCCACATCCCGCACATCTGCAGCTCGCAGCAGTGTGACCTCTGAATGCTCAGTTTCTATTCAAATTCCTGGTGCTTCTGCCTTCCAGTCATAATCTCTTTACAGTTGTCTTCCGCGAAATTGTGTGCATGCTCGAAACTGCCCGTGAGGATGGGAGACTACCGAGGTTTGACAAGCTGTTGCCCAGCTGCTGCCGACACCTTGTAGTGCTTCGGTGGCGGGGATTCAAGATGCGAAAGGGCTTATCGAGTGTTACGAACCGTTTGGTCTGCCTGGGCTTCCTCTCAACTCCGTCCCTTTATGGCATCTTTCCTTGAGGAAAGATACGAGAAGGTGTTGCATTGAGATGCCCACCAGCTTTGGCAAGATGCCCTTCTTGAGAAGCTTGTCACCTTGCACCAGGGCTGGTGACTGAATCCCCAGCAGAATTTTGCAGCTTTTTGTAGACCCTAGACCCAGCTGATACCCTCGAAAATGCAGCAGCCGCATCCCTGAGGCTTCCCATCAACAAATCACTTCTCATTAGCTTTGGGCCAGCATCCACTCACACAGTCTTGCTCGACCCCATCTGCCACTACCCGATCCAACACTGGAATCTGCTGCCAAGGTGCGGTCTTTTGCAACCGGCGCTAGGTTCAGAAGGCCTCGGCAAGCCTCTTTTGCCTCGGAAGGGGGCTTGAGATTCACGAGATCCTGCGGAAGGGCGACTGCTTGAGAATTACATCACTTAGTCACAGGTTCCCGCCAGCAGTTCACAGCATCTTGTCATCATCTCTCATGCCTGGCAATGTGCTTGAGGTGCTGGCGGCATTGCCTTCCTCAGCCATGTTGGGACTATGGTTTGAGAGAGGGCACGGACATTCTAAGTCTGCCTTGGTGGGCATGCCACCTGTGACAGTTACTTCCTGTCGCAGCTTGGAACGCGGCCGCCATTCCGAGAAGTGCCTGCAGGCAGTTGCCAAATTCAGTCAGCTGTCACTCCCAACCTGAGAACTTTCTTCGTGATACACCTTTGTTCGAAAAAGGCCACACTTCCGTGATCCCGTTTTCCTCAAAACCCTGCAGCTTCCTCCTCCTGAGCAGGCCTCCGGCGCACCCGACTCTTTCACGGAGACTCGCGAGGCCTCTCGCCGCAATACGGGGGAACAAAACTGTCCAAGTATCATCCATCATGATTAGATGAACTGTGCAATTCCTGAAGCTTTGGATTATGGCCAGACTACAAATACTCTGCGCCTCACGCGATGCCAGCAGCGCAATTGCTCGTGACAGGTGTTTTCCTCAAGGCAAGCAGCTGAGGAGTCGTTTTGTGCTTCAAGAAGCAGCGATGCTGCCATTAGGGCTTGACGTGTGCTGGTCTCCAGCGGTTGCTTCTTGTTTGTGAGGAGAAAGGCAAGCCTGCTCAAAGTTTCAAATCATTGCTCGACGCGCATATCAGCAAAGCTGACTTTGCAGACAAAATGATGCACACCCGCACTGCTTGACTCACGGCAGTCTCGCTCCACAGCGGTCCTTCGTGGCAGGTCTGGGATCTCCAAGAAAACCTGCAAGCGAGAACACGCACCAGGCCCAGGCAGGACTAACGACACAGAACATCTTAATGAATGGGATCAAGTTGCGAGAATTAGCAACTACAAGCACGTATCAACTCCTCGCACTCTCCAACCCAAGCTAGGTCGCGTGCCTTGGCTACGCTCTCCGGGCTGTCTTCCAAGATGTTGGCCAGGCCCACGGAGGCCTGTTCCCTCAGGGCCTTGCGCGAACTTCTGCTGAAGCAAGGCAAACGGCTAGACATGATCAGAAAATCTCGCATCCAGAAACAGCGTGTTCCCCCTGGGTTTCAGTCTGCATCCGTGAAGCTTTCGATGACGGCGACCATGGGCTTCAGCAGACCGGCCCGTAGCAGTCTGACAAGGAGAACAAATCGAGTGCGGTGCGCAGCGCGCGATCTCTTGATAATGCTGTAGGCTTCATATGCAAGTGGTTGCTGTATGTGGGGTCCAGTTGCCTCATTCGCCAAAACCCGAACAGCTGGCAAGCACCTTCCAGTACGCCTAGGAATCCGCTACCCGTGCCTTGCCTACTCTTTGCCGGACTCCGCACTGCAAGGTTTGCAGCGAGGGCAAGGGCTGCCAGGCGGCCCCTGATGCGGACTGTAGAAGACTTGAACGCTGACAGCAGCAATGAGGCCCAAACAGTACGAAAAGTGTCACTCAAGCATTTGTCAGTCTGCATCCGCCTTGGCGGTTGCTCTTCACTGGGCTTCAGAACGTCGACCTGCCACTGACTAGTCTCACATTCTCAGAGAAGATTCTCTTCTCTTCAAACTAGGCAGGATGCACCACTTTCTGGATAGGAGTCCTTGGTATATTTGGTTGCAAATCACCATTTGCTGGGCCACTTCAAAAGCTACGAGCCTTTTCTGTGGACCTTACATTGACAGCATGTGTGCAGTCCAGGATCATGTGATAGATCTCCTCTCCAGTTTCTGGCATGTGCCAGCACAAGTTGGCCAACAAGCCAAAGACCTGACAAGACTGCTGTGTACAGCCGTCGTGAAATGATGTGAGCGGTGCTTGGGTTGGAGGGCACTGGACGGACTTCAGATCGACTGCGGCTGCTACTGTACTGTGACTCTGCACAAAGTGCCATGTCCTTAAGGAGTCTGGGGGTAGGTATTGGGGAACCTTGGCGCGTGCCAAAAAGGATAAGGGACTGTTGGGGATTACCAGCTATCTACACCTTGAAGCACCCTCCCTTCAGGATGTTGTGTAACACAAGTGAGTAGTAAGCTGCTCAGACCGCACCTGCGCTGGTCTGACCTCAGAATTCATGGACAAGGACAGCTCAGCACAACAAGGGCACAGCTTGCAAAGCTGCGGTAGCCGAGACGGTGGCAGAGGATTGGAGCAACTTCGAAAGGACCTCGCTTTTGCAGCGTAACCATGAGCTGCGCTCTGCTATCTTAGTTCTTGCGATGCCTTACATATAACTGCTGCATTAAGTTTTAAGTTATCTTGAGTTTCTTCCGTTCTCTTCCGTTTGTCAGGAAAGGTTGGAATGCCTGCAGAAGCCCAGCATCGAGAGCGCTCTGCGCCGCCTCAGGACAAGCTTTTTCATGGTGGATCAAAACTGGTGGATGCGCATGTGGCTTGGAGAGTTTGCACAAAGCAGCCCAGAAGTATCAAGAACACTCAATGCAATGCAACCTTGGAAGGTGGCGGCACGAGTTCGAGTCAAGTCAAAATACGAAGGAGAAACTGCAAAGTCTTGGTGTTGCTCGCGCTCACCTTCCAGTTTCTGAGTGCCCGGCCATGGGGCCCGTGGCAGCCACGATGTTGGCCAAGGCGGCTGCAGCATTTTCGGCTGCAAGCAGGCTGGCCGGCTCACCTGAACCCCTCGAGCCAAGGCTGACGTGCTTCTAGTGCAGCACTCCCTCTGATGTTGATGCACTCTCACACCAGCCCCTGTGCTATGGAAGCCCCCACATCCTGCGAACTCTACGTGAGAAAGCATGCATGAACAGCACGGGCCCCGCTCAAACAATTTGGCAAGGCACCGTCCGATGTCTCCAAGAACCGCATCAATCTGGGAATTGCCATTGCTCGGTAGACTGCCTCCAACCAGTCTATGTTCTTGCTTACATCTTCTTTTTGCATGCAACGAAAGAATGCAATGCATGCGGTGCCTTCCGGCAGTTCTCTCCATGGCCGCTGAGAAGGTTGGCCAGCGCCCCAGCTGCGCGTTCACGGACCTCACAATGTGTGTCGCTCTGTTTGCATCTAGGCGCTTCATGAGTGGCGCTCTGCTGCCGAGCGAAGGACTGCCAGGGAATGGTCGTCCTCGAGGCAGCCGCAGAGTGCCTTCAAGCTCGGTGACTCTACAGGCTCTTCAAGCTCTTCGGGCTCTATGACGCCGGCCGGCCTCTACGGCGCCGTTAGCGCCGATAGCTTCTTGAGCACCTTCAAGACATCATTTCCTTGACCACTCCTTGCTGCGCATCTCAAGTAGAAGCCTCCGGCCATCAGCAGGGATGTTAACGCACCCAAGGCATTGACGAGAACCTGCTCGAACGGTCGTCCAGAACATCACTGAATCGCAAACAACTCCGCCGCTGGCTCAAGAAAAGTGCACCAACATGTGAGCTCATTGAGCTCTGAAACGGAATTGAAATCAGATAGCATACAGAATCATACAGAGCTGCTGAAGCCTCCTCATCCAGCGCAGCCTCGCACAGGCTTCCCTCTTTGGCTCAGAACTTCTGCATTGTCTCGCAGCATGAGAACCCTCGGCAAATTGCGAATCCAAGACTTGAGCTAGTGCGACCGACCAGGCGCCCTGCTGAGAGGATGGGAAGCAACACCTGTGGTTCCACACTCAGGGACGAGCGTCTCATTGAGTGGAAGCTGTGTAATTCCGTACTTCTCCGTTGCAAAAGTCTGTTCAGTCAGAAGGCCAGTAAATCAGCAGTCAGACATGCGCATCGGTCCGAATTTACATGACCCCAGCATCTTTCCATCTTGAAACTGCAAGCCAGACTGCCTGGGCCTCGCACAGCAGCTGCGCCTTCTCGGAAGGCAATGGCTGCGTGCTCCTTCTGCCCAACCTGCCCCAAGAGCCAGCTGAAATTGCCCCCCCACACGGCATTGCTATTAGCATCAGTCAGTCTGGCCCCAGAAAAAATACACGCAAGTCAGCTGCACGCAGCTACGGCTTACTGTCATGAGGCTCATCTTCTTGCCTTGCCTGAATGTTCCAAAGCGCATAGGCGGCCTCCTTGGCAGCTCCCTGGCAGAGCTGGTTGGCTGAGGGTATGGGTTGCAGACGTCTGTAGAAGACTTAATCAGATTACGCAGTTGTCCCAAAGCAGCTTGGGCCAGCAAAATGACAGTCATTAACATTGCAGTCCCTGCACCTCTGCCCTGCGCCCAAGCAGACGTACCAAAGACCTGCCATTTGCAGATCATTCAGCCTAAGACAGGAGAACTCTGACCTACCTCTGTTCAGATATATTCATATACAACGGCAATCCGTACAATCCCGAGGTTTGGCCACATCTCGGATCTAGTGAAATTGCTGCGCGCCTTATGGCTCCAGCCCTGCCAGCGCGTGCCTTGAAGCTAGGCTTCAGCGGCTGAGACGCAAAGAGGCCCTGGAGCCCACCCCAGCCATCCCCAGCCATCCCCAGCCTGCACGACTGGGTGCCGATAGCAGATGCGGCCCAACCTTGCATTCAAGACAAGCTCAGCCACAATGCACTTAATCTCGCGGGGGACTGGAAGGAGGAACCTGACTTCACAGCAGCCCATCTTAGATAAGCTCAATCTTGTTTTGCAGGGGCGTTTGGCCGCCTTGCTGGCCCTCTCTTCTGGGCAATGCGTCGGTTCACTTCCACTTCCAGCAAAAGATTTCTGCCAGAAGCACAGTCAGCCCCTGGTCAGGGGCCCAGTAGGCTCCGACCACATGGGAGAGCATATGGCACACGAGAGCATTATGTACAGTCTCAGGCACCCTATACTGGCACCTGGAGGATCTTAGAAGTTCAAGTGCTCCACTCTGCGGGAGCTCTGCAGAATGAGCATCTGCCAGCTGAACTCCTGGGCCGTGCTCTGTCGTGACAGCTGCTCTGCAGATCGGACCAGGGTGCCTTGCGCTTATGCTTTTGGGATCCAGAAGGGCTCAGTTAAAAGTCTTGGAGTGCATGGCATCTTGATTTGCAGCTCAGGCACCGCGGGCGTTCAGCAGCTGGTGGTCGAAGCTGCGGCGGTCCAACTCCTCTAAATCTCGTTGCTGACGGACGCACACGGCAGTGATAACGATGCTGCCAACATAGGCCGTGTGCAAGGCATCGGTGAGCGGCATCTGCAAAACGAAAATGATCCAAAGTATGAAGACCGCACCGTTCACAAAACAGAACAGAAGTGTATCTATGGTCTGCATCTGCTGCATGAAGACCATCGAGATATTTGTCATGCCCAGGCCGATCACGGAACTAAACGCTTCGACCTGAACTGCCTGAAGCGTGGATCCTTCCGTTGCGAGCGACACGAGCAAGGGCTGACAGATTACACATCGACCAAAGAAAAATGCACAAAGTAGAACGTTGTGCCATACCCTCCAACTGTTCGGTGCCGAGGGCGATGCGAACATCAACAGCTTCCGGATTATGAGGCCAGCACCAAAGGCCACATAAAAAAGCAGTACCAAGAGAACCCTGTATGGTGGATTCATGGCAATATCCCAACACAACATCAAGAGAGTGGCAAGCGCAGACCAATCCATGCAAACCCAGGACCGTCGCGTGTAGTGCCACTGGAACAAGCTCTCCACAGTCGGGTCACTGAAGGGGCTGTCAGCAGGAAAAGATAGGAATAGCATCACTTCAATGTCCTGCTTTAGCTGCTTCAGGCCCTCGCGCAGGTGTTGGCGCAGTGCTTGGGAAGGAAAGCCTTGCCGCTTCGGCCGCTTGGGCTTTTCCGAAGCCGAAGCTGGGCTGCCTGGAGCGCCGCCTTCCTCGCTGGGAACCTGCTTCGTGCTGGGCGATGTCGGCTCCGATGCAGGCGATGATGTCTGCGTCGGGGATCCCTCCCCATCTCCCCTAACATCTCTGCTAGTCTCCTGCACTTCTCCACTCTCGCCCAGTGGTCCATCTGGAGCGAGCAGGCGGTGAAGCAAGGAGCCCACGGTGGTCTCCCGAAACCAGGTCTGAAGCTCTTGGGCACAGCGCGTGAAACATCCTGGGCCTGGGGGAGGCGGCCTCTGCGCATGTGAGTTGGCAATGCGCCGGAGGAGGTCCAGCACCAGAAGGTTCGGATCGAAACGGTCAACCATGGCCAGCTTAAACTCATGGACACATTTACAGGGAAGGGTTGTGATTCTCAGACTTCTTTGGAGATGTTCATCATTCTGACGACTCAACGTTGCTTGATGATGTTTCATGGCTCACTCTGATGGGAGCCAGGCACGACTCAAGAGCACAGCCTCTGCTTCACATGGCCGTCTGCAAATATCAACCCATGAAGATGGCGATGCTCGACCTTTGCTAAGGCCCCCTGCGCTTCAGCCGCCAGGGCTGCCCTGCGGATGTCGGGCGAGGAAATGGCCTCCACCTGAGCCGAGAAATTCAGGTTCCTTGCAGCTGTTTCTTGGACGGCAAGCTTGTGCTTCATCCAGCTTCAGGCTCAAACCAGGGGTTGAAGCCCGTCTGCCGTCATCAACGACTCGGCAACAGTCTTGTGCTGCACGCCTGACTCAGGAGGCTGTCGTCTTTCAAGTCTGGAGAAGACACGTGTGAAGCGATGTGCACCGTTGCCTCCAGGACCCATCTGCATGGACCTGTCCAGTAGACGGCAAACGCTTGCCCGCTTGGATTTTGCCAAGATTGATTGTTGTTCCAATGACTTATTCGGCATGCTCCTGCCTGCGACCTAACAAGGCCAAGAGGGCCAGCGCCGGAGTGGTGCCGCGGCGCAGCGGTGGCACTAGGGCTCCGGAAAGGCCTGCATCAAAGGATACAAAGCGTATAGTGTAGCTAGAAGCTTCAAGCCTTTCACGCAGCTCAAACATGCATAAGTTGCATGACTCTTGCCTGTGCATCCAGATAAGTCCACGTGGACTTTGAGTCACAAAGGACCACATGCAGTGCAAGGCTTCTCTACACTGTGCCTGTCGTAATCAGTCGCACACAGGACTCATCGTCCTGCACAATGCTCAAGTGGCAGCAGCAGCAGCAGCAGCAGCAGCAGCAGCAGCAGCATCGTGAAAGGTCGCAGGATTTGATAAAACGCAAAGGTGCACAACCAGAAAAACGGCCCAAAAGGACAAAAACAAGATTACGTGCATGCTGCTATACGTCACTCTAAGATTTGCAACCGAACTGGGCTGGTCAATGTTGATGGACTTACCCATAAGACGTCCGTCTCTGCCTCAGGAGCCGGTCCTCGGCTTTTTCTGAAGCCTCTGCCATGGCATTGAGGTCACCTTCCCTGTCGCGGCTGGATACTCACCAAGACGCAGGCATGGTTGCCAATGTGCCGTGTACTGCGTGCCCCACCCCCCAAAAGGTTTGATCCTAAGTTCTGAAAATCACAATCTCTAGTCCCGCCATTTTCACTTGTAAGGACCTCAATGCAACGCCAACCCAGCCGCACGATGTCCAATTTCGGGGGAAGCTCACAAAACTCACAAAACTTACCTGGTACTGTTCACGTAGCGAGATTTGAGAGGCTTTGCCATTGGCAGCTTGGTTTGGGCTTCACTGATTCTGGCCTGAAAGGATTGCACAGTGTCAAGAGCAAGTTGTTGCGACGGCAGCCGGGTGTGCGTGTGTTGATCTGTGGAACAGAGGTCCTGCCTTCTCGTAGCACACTATGAAGACAAGGTCCCTACTTGGAAGCTCTGTCGTAGGAGAATGTGCGCCTGATTCGCTTCAGGATTGCCCGCGACTCCTCCATAAAGAACAAACCACATCATCACAGGTGGCGAGTCCCGAACAGATCCACTATTTTACTATCAAGTTTGGATTTGGGGGTCTAGTTTGGCAGGGAAGAGTTTAACAGACCCAGCCACATCACTGTCTGGGTCCCAGCTGCTGAAGGTGTAGTGGCATGAGATGCAGAGTCACATTGATACAAGCATCCATCACCCTTCCCAAAATCCTCCGCCGAGAGAGGTGGGATCTTGGGCATCTTGGGAACCTGCAAACTCTCAACAAATACGTACGTCGAGGCACGCTGTAAGGGGCCTGCCTGCTCCTTTTCAGCCTCCGGAGGCTTGCTTGCCATGGCTGGGGCGTCGCCAGTAGCTGGGGCAGCCTGCCCGGGCCGGGCCAGAATGTGGGACAGAATTAATTGTGAAACAGCAGGGATGAGAAGAGTGGGGGCCAATTTCTACGTCGCTGCCCCATCAATGGTGGATGAGCTAGCATCCTAGCAGCCAGGCAACCCACAAGCTCAAATCAAAAACCTTGCGGAAAGCCCAAGTGGAAATCTCAGCGCCCGCCTCTTCTGGTACACAAGCATCGGTTGATGCAAGAAGAAGTGCTTCTTCTCGCTCTGCACATACCGCCTGGGGATCAAGAATCAGTTGGAAAACAAATCAAATATGCAGTCGACCGGCTGAACCAAAAACCCTCCCCGCCTCAACGGTTTCGATTTTTGTCTCCTGAGACCCCACAGACTTCTCGTCCGTGGCCTGGGTGGCCTGGCCCAACCGCCGCAACAAGACTTTCGAAATCGAATGTGCTGCAGGGCTGGCTCGAGCAAGGCAAATTTGCCTGAGTAGAGCCAAAAAATGGAGACTTCCCCGGCGAGCCTGGGCAAATCTCGTACGTGAATCTTCTGGGAGTTCATCTCCCCTAGCCTTTACAGACCTGGTATCGTCCCGTATCCTGCCTAGTTCAGGCACTGCCACACACCAAGAGCGACGGCCTGTGCGCCGTGCCTGATGTAAGCACCACAAGCACTACTATGAGACCATCACCACCCACCTTTGTTTCAAAGCGCGGCCAATCTCACGTCCAGCCTTCGGGAAGCGCAGCTTCACCAGATGTTCGGCCAAGTCCTGGCTGCGTTGACAGGCTTGCCAACCCAAAATGCCAGGGGAAGCGCATCTTCTGGAAGCACCCTGCAATTAAGGCAGCAACCTGCGCTTCTGCTGTCAGAATGGTCTCCTGCATCCAGAAAGACAGCAGGGCTTGGACAAGACTCGCCCCCCCCCCCCCAGCGCCAACACCCATCTTACAAATACCACGGTGCTCCTCCCGAGTTTCGGTGGCGACCAGAGCTTCAGCCTTACACCAGGGGGACGAACTCTCAGAATGCTCCTCAGCGAATGGTGCTGAGATGAGCTGAGCTTTGACGTGTCATCTCAAATGCAGTGCCAGGGTGACCAGATTTTCTCAGTGACCAGGCGTCGGGCTAACAGAAGTTGCTCCATATTCCTGAGATGCCCAGGAATTACAGCAGTTTAAGGCAACCAGCATTGGATCACAAGCAAAAGCAGCTGCTTTGCTGGGAAGTGTCTCAGGCCTCGGAGTATAGTCCACCCAGGTGCCGTCTTCTGTGGTGTTCCACCAATACCTGCAAGCTGCGCCACGCTAAGCAAGATGGTTTCCCTCATCTGCTTCTTTTGACAATTGTGAGCAGCCCTCTTCTAGGACAAGGATTGTTGATTGGCACCTCTCCGCCAAGAAAGCTGCGCCCGTGACATCGTCCAGGAGGTCATAGATTGCCCAACCTCAGAAGTCGACAAAACAGCGAATCTGCTAAAACGTGCCAAGAGCTGCCCAGCTATCAGAGGGGTCGCGGATATCCCCAACCCATGAAAAACATAAACGATGAAGATTCGCTCCAGGACATGCTGCGGCTCACCTTCCACAACGGTCAGGCCCGCCCGAGCGGCTGCCGCCTGCTCAATGCTTGCAGATTTCATACCGAGAATTAGGATCTGAAACCGCAGCACAGGTGATGATGCAGCTTGGCAGAGAGCAGAAGCAAGCAAGGAACCTCCGCATTGCGTCGGCTCTGCAGAGGCCACACCTCCAGGCCATCGGCCCAGGAGAGATGCTCCTGCGGCGCCGCCAGGCAACAGAGTCCCGAAGAACGGTCATAATATGCAGTAGCACTCAACCAAACCGAGCAAAAACTGCAAGCCGCGGGTCCCACCTCTTCTGGGAGCGGGACTACACTGACCTCGTGACAGTCTGAAACCCTGCCCTTTGCACACATCATTGTAGACACACTTGCAGCAGTGATATCAATACGGTCAATACATGTTCCGTACTGGCACAGCTCCGTTGTCACGGCACGAGGCTGTCTTCAAGACCCTTCTGCCAGCCCAGCGGCTCGCTTCGATGCGCACGGCCCTCGGCGTCGCAGCAGTGTGCGTAAGGCATCGCTCTCAGCGTAGACATCAGGCCTCAAAGCTGGCATCAGAGCATCCTGAAACACCAAAACTCAGAAACAGCTGAGTTCCCGAGTTCCCAGCCAGTCACGTGGAAATGTGTGAGGCCCAACTTCCATGATGTCATCTTCCTGTTCTATGCTACCCCACATGCCACACCAAGCTCACCGCGACCATTCCAGCGGCTTGCACGAACAGAATCCATCTGGCATCCTCATGGTCTTGGCCGCCGAAGACGAAGTCTGAATCTCAGGAGCTGGACAGAGGTAAGGCGTGAGTCTCGCCAGCACCAGCCGTTCGGTCAGCCCAATCACAGCTGAGCACTTCACGCTCTGGCCAGTAGCCCGCGCTTTGGCCCACCACAGCAGGACTGCCAAATCGATAAGGCAAAGACCCTCATGCAAAAGCCAAGGACGTGCTGTCATCTCAGAGCGGCAGCGCCATATTAGACTATGCCTTGCAATTATCAACCCCGTTGCTGCTGCCTTCCATCTGCCTCAAACAGAGCCATGGCAACTGCCCGGCATGGCCAACAGCTGTTGATTCAAGACGAACAGATACTGGGGGTGATCCCTTGTCAATTGCGTTTAAAACTGCATGCATGCACGGGGCTGAGCATTGCTGCTGGTACATTTTTAGAATGAGTTATGCCACCGAACTGTTTGAGGAGTTGGCTAAGATCATGCTGAGAACGTAAATAAGCTGATCCTGCTAAGAACCAGAAGAGAACAGGCAATCGAGACGGTAGCATCCAGTTTTAGCCCGCCCTCCGCTGGCAAATGGTCCTTGCGAACGAGGATTGTACAGAAAGCCCCAGTTTTGTCACTCGCTGCCAGGCTGCAGGGTCAGGGTGCGCTGTTGCAACATGGCTTTGTCAACCTTCTTTCCACGGAGTGCATAGATGGCTTATACATCAAAGAGTTTGTGCTCGAATCTGCTGGAACGTGTCTTTCAAGATCATTCGAAAGGACTCGCTGCTTTCTTGGGACAACAGCGGTCCAAAAGCAGCTTGCAGCATACAGCTTCAGCCATTCTAGCCCTTTTCGGGCCTCGGCCTGTGGGATGGAGCTACCGCCAGCTCCCGGCCATGGCAAAATCTGCTTGGATGAGAGACAGCATGCCCACTGCAGGTTGTCTTCTTTAAGTGTTTGGTGCTTGGTGCTGTTGCGTGATTCCAGGCCAGCTCTTGCCTGGCCACCTCAACACTCAGCCACGTCGACCACCGCCGCCGCCGCCACCACCACCGCCACCGCCGCCGGCGGCACCGCCGCCCTTGCCCTGACACCGTGTGATGCACAATGTGATGCACGTACGTCACAGAAGGGACATCGGCCGGCCTTGGCACCCTGGCCGTCATCACCCATGCTGGACATCAGGAGGACAGCCTGGCAAACTCTTGGACAGCTTTCGCTTTCGTGCATACACGTGGACGTTAATGGCTTCAGAACAGCAACGCAAGCAAAAAATGCTCTCGGCCCCTGGCAATCGCAATGACCCACCAGTACCTCGCACATGCTAGAAATTCAGCCTCCTGCCCAAACAGCATGCTGATTGCACTTCACATGATGACAGCGCAGCGGGCTAGGATTACCACAGCTTCAAATCCAAACCTTCACAGGCCGTTCATGCTGAAGTCATCCCAAGTCCCTGATGCCGCACTTGCGCAGGAAGGAAGGCTGCTGCTGCTCGCCGCCGCCCGGCTTGATGTTTCCGTCTCCATCCCTGGCAAACGGGGAAAAGATGACGCTTTCTCCCTCCCTCTCAGGGCCCAGAGTGATGAGCTGTTTGCCGGGTGCTCGTGTGTTAAGTGAACCTGCTTTCCAGGAGCCAGGCTGAGGGTCTTATCAGGCCGTCACTCAAGACCGACGACGAAAAGATGACGTGCTTTTCCCCCTTTTTTCAATGGCTTGCGCACTTGCGCCTGACGGGTGGAGCAACGCGAGGTCCCTCCAACCTGCTGGGCTCCGAGAGGTGCACCTGCAAAACGAAACCATAATCTCCAAGAAAGCTGCTTCAGGAGGACATCCGGCCTGGGTGTGGTCGAAGAGCATGAGGCCAAGGGTGTGGCGAACTCTGTACGACAAGCCTCACAGCGAGATGCAATGAGATGTTCTCACTCTTACCCAGAGATCCTTTGTGTTTCTTGTACAGCTTCCCTTTAGTCATTCCTCAGCACCCCCATCGCTGTGGAGAAATCCTTGCACTTCGAAGAACAGCTACAACTGTTTGGCATTGGCTGCTACTGCAACGATCAATGACCGGGGCATATGCAATGTTCTGCATCATGTGCACTTTGACAACTTGCATGTTGAGCACATTGCGGAGCACCGCAAACAGTTGCTTCTTCCACACCGCATTATAGATTGTCAGATTCCGTCTGCACCTGGCCTACTGGGATACCAGCGTCACTCACGGAGACCTGCAGGCGAGCTGAAACCCAACAGCTCTGGCCATGCAAGGACAGACCCGGTTGGGCTCCTAACATGCTCAGCTTTGCCACATTTTGCCACGATTGAACACCGTGATTTGGCCCTTGAGGATGGTTACCATCTTTGACTGCTCCATATGCAACTCCGGTTTTGCAGCCGTTCTGCAGTTACTATGATACAAGCCTCGCATTGGTTCTGCTTAAATGCCTAGGAGGTTAATGATGGAAATTCTGAATATCCTTCCAGGCCTCGAGGATGTCGTGCCAATCCTCAAAGTGATCTGCTAGGAGCTTCGCTGGGATCGAGGCCTACCAGGTTGAGCGTGGAGCTTTCCAAGGCAACCCCCCCGAACATCACTGTATTCCAAATCAACTAACCATATGCAACTGGCTGAGAGTCCGAAGCACTGCCTGCAGCACCCTTTTCGGGCTTTCTGGATTGTACCTTCCAGCATTGACTTGCATGGCAGGCTGAAACTTCAGTATCCCGCCTGGCCAGCTCAAATTATGTTGTTGGCAAGAGTTGTGACTTGCACTCCCTTTAAGGGAAGTCAAGGTGCATTCGAATGGCGTAGTACTGATGTTCCTTTGCCGCCTGCAAGAGTTCAGTGGCAAGGTCCAAAGCACAGCAGGCTTTGAAGAAAGGGACATCTTGCCTGAGAGATCAGCTGCTGAAGCTGCTCGGTTTTCAGTTGCTTGAATTCCTGGAAGCCACACCCAACTCGCTGCTGGTAGCACCGCATTACATGCTTCAAAAAAAGCAGGCAAGTCTAGCTTTAGTCAAGCGAAAGGCTGGGGAACTGCAAGGTTGACAGGAATGCCCCCTGATGCCTTGGCGTCACTAAGCCGGGCTTCGTATCCGGCGCCGTGGCCAGAGAGCATGATGGTGCCGCGCTGGCAGAGATTGGATTTGGGGACAGGCGTCCAAGGAGCTAGTCCATGTTTTGTGTTGTTCAGTTGCAGTTTGGTTCAGCCTTTAAATCGCCATAGATCTGCGTAAGTGCAACCTACATGCCTTTCATGAGGCCAATGCTTGGGAGATAGAGCAAATCTAGCCATCAGGCTACAAGATCCAAAGGCCCAACATTGCTAGGGCAATGCGGAATGCATGTATGGAGACCAGGGGTGCCACTGGCATCCACTTAATGGAGTCGGTCAAGAAGCCATGCTCCATCACCTTGGCGCGATTCTTGGCTTACTTGCAGGTTGCAATTGAAAGGATGATCCACGAGGCCTGCAGCCCGCTCAGTCTTTGCAAGATCAGCTTTGGAAACTCCAACAAACAACAATGCATAGCACCACCATGCTGGTTTCTCTAAGAATGTTCTGCGAGCTGCTGTCCCAACCTCAGGCCTGAGCATACACTGAAGAGGGAGTCTCCGACAAACCAATATCATCACTGCCTAATGCTTGTCAGACTCTTACACCCCCATAGATCGCAGGATCGTCGGATCTAGACGGGATTTTTGCGTCTCGCCTGTGACGGAGTCCTCCGAGTTGGCCAAAGCCTCGCTGTAGGAGGCCTGCCAAAGACTGCGGTAACCCTCATCTGGGGCCTCTTGCAAGGCGCTGCTATTCCTGGCAAAGAGCTGAGGCTCTTTTTGATGATTCGGCTGTAGAGAAACAAAATGCATGCATTTCTCCTCCCACACTGCTTCTGCTTTGAGGCTACATGCCCTTGGGTGGACCCAGGTGCTGCGCGCCAAGCAGACAGACTGTACAAGTTTTCCAAACTCTTGAAACTGCCTTTCTCCTGACGCTGGTCATGGACCATGCGGCCTGACTTGCTCACACAACTCGTCTGCCACCCCTCCTCCAGCTGTTGCCAACGCAATTCATGTCCAATGCTCGTGCTTCAGCGACGTGACAGCTGCACTGGTCCAAAGCACTCCAACTTGTGAGAACCATCAGAGATGATGTCGGCCCAGCAACGCCATGATTAGTATCTCCGCGGAGGTAGTGACCTCCTGGAGAAGCCTAGGCAGCTGTTTACTTCTGAACTGACCTCTCATGCAGCATCAGTGAAACTGTGCCTGGGTAAAGTCATCGGGCTCCTTGCCTGCTTCAAGCAGCGCTCGCAATGTCATGCTTGTTGCACAGGCGCATACATGTGTTTTACAGGCTTGCTGGTCTTATAAAAATCACAGGACAATTTTCAAATGTTTGACAGGCTAAATGTGTGCAAGAGTGGTCGAAAGACCTTGCCTCCAGGCAGCTGGCAGCAAGTATGGCTCCAGGAATGTCCAGGCGATGCTGCAACGGCACAGTAACAGTTCTACGAACGCTGCACTAGCATCATCGGTTGCAACACATCTCTCAAACCTCCTCTCATTTGCAGCATCTGGGGCGAATCAACAAAACAGCTGCAATGATTCCTGCCAGATACCACTCGCAAGTGACAAAAATTGCAATGCATCTTGGCCTTCTGGTCACTTCCGCAATGCGTCAGGAGCGCTACGACCTGCAAGGAGTGGCCGCGATCCAGATTTGATTGAGTACTGAACTGGATACATGGTGGTATGAGTCGCGCACCCTACATGCTGAATCCCACTCACAGAACAATCATGAACAATCTCTGATGTCCACTTGTTCTCTCCATCGGCCTGCTGCCAACAGGCGGCCCGCTGCGCCGCTGCTGCAGCTGACGCACGCGCAACGGGCCCGCTCGGCAGCGCCCTCTTCGAAACCAACGTGCAGTTAGAAGCTGTATGAAGATGTCAAGAGGCACGGCACGATGATGTAAACGAGCCTCCAGCTGCCGGCCGACAGCAGGTTAAGTGCAGCACACCAAACTCCAGCTGCCACGCAGGCCGCTGCTGCAGCGCCTTGGCACGGGACTGCAGGTGTGAGCTTGGGCGACCTGCGCGCAATGAACAGTCTTTTTTTGCACTTTGAAAAAAGTGCAATGTCGTTGTCACGTCTTCCTAAGGAGCAAGCAGAGTGCTGCATGGCACCAAGTTTTGCTTTGGTGCGCGAAATCATGTGGCATCCATCTTGCCGATGCGTGATGTACTTATTGATTATGTCTTTTCCATCCCATGCGCTTTTCCTCACATGGCACTTATCGTTCAGCCCTGCGCTCCTCACAGGCCCCACAGGGTGCAACCGGCCATGTTACAGTAGACCATCAAGTGACTGTGAGGCCTCAGGGTATCTCCGAGAAGGCCTGTCATCCTCACCTTTCTCCTATGCAATTCTTGAGACCAGCTAAACACCTTCAAAGCTTCTGCAAGCAGACTTAACACTGTCTATTGCTGCGGGATCTGCTTCAAGACAAAGACAAGCTTGAACTGCAAAAGGGCATACCCCAAAAGTCAGCATTGCAAGTAGCTTGGCTTTTGCAGGTTCGGAAACTTGTGCCGGCGTCCAATCGCCGAGTCATAATCGATCGCTTCCAAGGCTCCAATCGTCAAGGTGTTGGCCTGCGGCCCAAGACATAGCAGTATGCGGGTGGCCGTCTGCCAGCTGCCAGAGTGCTCACAGGTACCTCCACGACTCCACATTAAAAAAAAAAAAAAACTGAGAGCGCTGCAGGAGACTGCCAACTATATTGACCATAGTGCTGAAGGGGCACTGGCTGCTGCATTTGCCAGCCCAGCATCAATTTGTACACCAGTCTGCCGAGCAGCGTGAATCAGGTAGATGGCCTCCACCTGCAAGTTGAAGCCAAGAAATGTCTGGCTGGCGACTGGCAAACTTTGCTGCCGCAAATTGTGCCCAGCTGCCCAAGTGCAGCCCACCAACGCAGCACTGAAGAGGATTCCGCTGAGCACCAGACCTCGCTTTAAACGCCAACACGACGCTCAACGTTCGCTCGATTCCTGCTTTGCGGTAGGATTGCACCCGCCTTGTTCTTTGGCTTCTATCAGCAACTTCTGCGCCATTCCCGCTTGGCCTGGAAGCAGGTCTCAAGCCAAAACCCAACAAACATCAATCCAGGGTGCCTGCCCGCTGGCACACGTTGGTCACTGTGCCAAAGGAGGTGATGTCAACCGCAAGGCGGACATCTGGCAGAGCACGGAACAGCGACAGCGCCGAGCCTGATCAACTCCCCTTGCCACCAACGGGGCGCTTTCATTCCGCTTCTTGGGCACCGACCCCAACGCCTGCCGCGGCCCAGTGCTGCCAGCGCCACATTAGCAGACACAAGGTCCCGACTTTCCAATCCGTGCCGCACCCTTAGATGGGGTTCCAGAAGATAGCGCTTGAACCCCCGATGAACTTGCATACCCAACTAGAGCCCTTGACGCCAAACCCCCCGCCTTTCCAGCAAGTGCAGGGACCATCCTTCGTCAGGGCTGGCACTCATTTTGCAATTTCTATTTGACGAAAGGCTGACTCGGGTAATTGCGTTGGACAATCTTGCTGAGGCTCGCCAGCCCACGCTATGTGCAGCAGCACTTGCTGCGCTGTTGAAGCCTGTATAGGACTTGTGGCGAGAAGTCCTAGAGCTGTTGGGGCCAGAGTTCCTGCGCCTCTCGCATCTGGACGAAGACGTACTGCCTGCAGCTCGCCCAAAGCGTCAATGCCGGCCTGCCACCTGAAGAAAGGAGAACCACGATAGACTTGAAGAAAACTGGGCGTATTTGTGAAGGACTCTGGCATCACAACACGACAATACCGCATGCGAAGCTTTTTGAAGCTGAAGCACAACTCACCCACTGCCATCGCAGTCAAGGCCGCATTGACCAGCCCCACCGTCAAAATCTCGGAGTGGTCAAAGAAAACTGCCAAGGCTCCTGGCATGCAGTAATTTTAGCCATCGCAGTCCACGTGAGGCATATGCTGGGAGGCCCTGCCTTGCCACTGTTTTTTGCTCAAGGAAGCCACCATGGAACTCATCGCTGGCAGATCCAGCACCACACCGTTCGCCGCCTCAAGAAGAAAGACCGCAGATTCCAAGTGCAGAAATCATTGGCTTGGAGCCACCTGTGACAGCAGCAAGGCTGCAGCCGTGCTCCAGTTTCTCTTCGAGGCCACGGTCGCGACCGAACTGGTGTGAATGGCGTTGATACGGCAAGCCTGGTCCTTTGCTGGAGAGACAGAGCAGATTTGACAAGGCCTCCTGAGAAAGTCGTTCCTGCAAGTCAGCCAGCATCGCCAGCGCCAATACCCAGGATCCTCATCACCAAACGAAGACAAATCTTGATTGCATTTCTAAATTACGGATCACCGGAACCTTTTGTGCTTACTCTATTCTCGGCTCCTTGTTCTCTTAGCAGAAATGTGCTAGCATTTGCTTGGACCTTGACTTTGCCTGGGCTCTGACAGAGCGAAAGAAAGCTTAAACTGATCAGTCCCCGGCAAATTGGCAAACAGATCGAGAGTAAAAAAAAGTGGCCATCCATGTCCAACTTAAATTCAACACGCCAAAGTTGTAACAACCTCCCTGCCTCCGGTTTGAATCGCGCCCAGCACAGTGCCCCAGAGAACCGTGCCACCGCGCAGGCCCTGGCCGAGACCAAAGGCCAACAACTCCTCAGACAGCTCTTCACAGTCTTTCCGTTACTGTTCCTCATAAGATGTCGGCCAGCAGGTTTGTTTGCAGTTGCGTCTCGAAGCCACTGCTCCAAACCGTAGGACCATTGCAGGCAGACACGGCAGCGCCCAGAGTCCTTAGTGGTAGCGGAGAATAGTGGCACCAGCATGCAGAAAACATTCTTGGCCTCGTATGCTTGCTCACATGCGACAAAGCATCACCACATCGACTTGTGCAGCGGCCGTCCCCGCATCGCCCAGCAAAGCAACAGCGGCCGCCTGGGCAACTGAACACGAATGCTCTTATTGTTGTTTCAAAGGTCTAAGAACAGGGAGGTGTTCAGCGGAAGATTTTAACACATTGGTCTTTTAAGGAAATTTGCCACTGTCGCATCATGAAGCAGATCCGGCTTGATGCGGAAGAGGGAAACACTATCCCAAACAGCTGTTCAGCGCACGCTGTTTCCAACATGTTCCAACATGCAAGCAAGGGACCCATTGCTTTGCTCGTGCAAAGCCCGCCACAGTTTTGCCGACCTTGCGTGCATCTGGTTGCACTCGGCGATGATGGAGCTCTTCCTTAACAGCAGCTGGGAGCAGGCCTGCCGCTACTGGCACAAGTTGCTGGCCAAGCTGCCAAGCTGCGCAGGCCGCATGCCCATCCTTCAAAGCGGCATGCCAGATCCAGCAATGCAGCAAAGTGCTTCTTCAGCACTTGTAGATAGTTGCAGTGAGGGCCGGACCTGGCCCTGGCCTGTCGGCCATCGGCCATGGCTGCACAGCGCATGGACCAGACCAAAGCTGTTACGAAGCTCAAGAAAAATTTCCACGGGAGTGAGAAACCATATGTGCAAGGCTCTCAGGGAGAGCTGGGCAGTACTTTAGGCTATTTGTTTTCGGCCGCAACCCAAATAGAAGACATGGTGCTGGGGCTGAATCATGTTCTGGATACTAGCTCATGCCGTCCAGAGCTTCAGTTTGGAATTCCAGCATACGTCCTTGCCACGTTGGTTCAAACTTTCTGTGCCAGAGCGCTGGGCATGAGGGATCGCTGCACCTCATCCTCCTCCTCGATTGCACAGCTTTGCGGAAGGGCCTCATTGCCCATTTCAGGCTACGCTGCATGTGGACTCGCGATGAATAAAGGTGTTCGGCGAAGGAACTTTGGAAAATTGTGATGCAAACACATTGAGATAATATCTCAGCACGCGGCAAGCAAGGCCACTGTGATGGCCAACAACCGGCACGCCTCAGTTACAGTGGCAATTGCAAAAACGTGCAGGACAGGGGCTGACAATGGCAGTGCAAGATTTCTGAAACGAAGCTTGCCAAACCTGGGTCCTCTCGAGTCAAGTTAGAGCTTTGCAGCCAGGTCTCAACTATTGCTCTGCCTATGAACAACTGTGTGGCAGACCATCGAAGCTCCAATCAACTTCAAGAAACCCAGCCCAGCTTTCTGAGCTGGGCACCATGGCCGGCAAAGCCCGCAAGGCGCTAAGCGGCTTGAAGGCGAGCGTTGCGGGGCCAAACTGGAAGAGGCAGTTTTGCTTGCTTGGTGCTGAGCCTGTACATGATCTACACCTTGCCAGGGACAAAAACAGATAGCCGCAAAGCCTGCAGGCTTTCCCTTTTTGGTTGAGCACGCTGATGACATTACGCTGCTTTCCTCAGATTGACTCACACTGCTTCCCTTTTGATCGCTCTCCTGGTCGTCATCCTGCACGTCAGGGTTACACCTGGATGCAATGGCTGAAACGCAATCATCCACGATTCTGATATGCATACCGACCTGTAAGCCTGAGAACATGCCGCAAGGCTCAAGTCAGGTCCTGCTCGTATTCTTCGCTGTAGCATGAAGACTCGTCCTCAACCAGGCAGCAGAACACAGTTCATTGTCACGTGTTGCTGAAATGCCAACAGTCCGCAGCCCACCTCTTTATGTCCACAGCTTGAATCATGACCAAGCAAAGCATCAGCATGCGACCACCTGACAGGAAATTGCAGCGACAGTCAAGGAGCCACGTATGACAGCTGTCTTCATGTCATCGTGTTTCAGGCAGGAATTTCATCTGCCAAGGCGCAGATCTGCTTTGGGTCCGGGGCCGCTGCCTCGTGCTTTTCAGATTCTACATTCGTTCGGGTGCTGCGATGCGTACTCTGGATCTTGAAGCTGCGAATTCTTCAGAATTCTGGGCGATGCGGCGCCAGGCAAACGCACCTAATGCGCGCCCACCAAAGTCGCCGGCAGCGCGACGGCAAATGCTGGCCTGCTCAATGGATTGCCAAAGGAGAGCTAATGGGAAGCCGAGTTTTCCAGCTGCATGTGCTAGGAGAGGGCAAGCCTCTGCCGGGACGTGCACCATCAAGTGCCATACCTGAATTTCGCGACAGTACGCAAGCAATCCTTTCACTGCTACATGAGCAGCAGTCCATGGTCTTTGTTTGGCCCATGGTTAAAAGTCCATAAAAGTCCCATGTGGTTCTGCAACCTCGTTCTTTCTCGTTTCGTTGGAGGGGACCATTTCATTGTGCTATGCTTGGGTGTGAAAAGCTTACGTTAGCCACATAAAGGACTGAATCCCTGCCCCTAAAACACGGGTCTGAAACCAGGGATCAACTGACTGGCCTCGAAACGCACAAGCACTGATCTCCTGATTTAAAGTGGACAGTCTCGTCTTGCAGACTAAATGCATAATCAGACGTGTGAAGAGGTAGGCAGGACTTTGTCCGTCGCTCACATGTTCAGGGCACACGGGGACGCGAGGTCGACAGTGCAGCAGGCTGGTACGCCGCACCTCTCCCAAAAGCAAGAAGGGCAAAAACCGCCTCTTCAGCACCAAAGTGATCCACTCTCATGCTCAAAAGCTGCTTTCGGGCCCTCAATGCCAACTTGTGCGAGGTTGTATTTGCAAATCAGGGAGCAAGGCACACCACCAGCCTGCTCGAGCCAGACATGGTGGCAAGTTGCTTTGCAGAAATGATTCCTTAAGCAACCTGGCCACGGGTGTACGGCTAGCAGCTTCTTGCCTTCCCAAACCAGAGCGTAGCATGCGTGCCTCTTCTCTTCAGTACAAGGCCACAGAGTGAAAGAGGCAAGTACCTCGCTGATGCGTCTAGACCATATCTTCCTTCTCATGTACACAGTGCGCAGTACGCATTGAACCTGCAGTTTCCATGATCCACAGCCAAATCCCATCAAGAGCACGGGCCGGTGCCTCCTCCTCTGCAAGAGCAGCGCTCTCTGCGCACAAAATGGGCGTCGCATCAACCTGAGCAGCTGTCGTCTCAAGGTGAGCGGGCAATTTGTCTCCGCACCCCTGGCCTCAAATGCCACCAGCGCAAGGTGTGCCTGCGGCCTGCACAAGCTCAAGACATCCCATCCTGCTTTGAAAACCCTCGCCCGGCAATCCGATAAGGAAGCCTGGGCTGCAGCTGAAAGGCAACAGCCGCGAGGTCCGCAGACGCCAGCGCCTGTGTTCACGACACTTCAAAGACGATGCCCTGGGAGGCATGCGTTCCTCCAGCAGGGACAGCGCATCAGAAACATCCAGGCCTGGCCAGGAACCATCAAACCCAAAAGAGTTGAACTAGTTGAATTCCGAGACCTGATTCATCTGCTCCCAGGTTGAGAACTAGGACCAGTCCGGTGTCGAGTAGGATCTCCTCTGACATTTTTTGGTGAACTCTGAAAGTCTGGAACACCACATGCATCTGCCTCCCCCAGGCCCAGAAGCAGTGCGAGTGGCTCTGCGACTGGCTGCCAGGCCTTGGCGCTTCTTTGGCACCAGGCTCACCATATCTCGTAGTTGGTTGGATACGCGCGGTGTGAACGAGAGGCCGGCAACATGGGTGGATGCTAGAGAGGGAAGCAGCACCACCACGTGGAGAAGCTCAGGCTCCTGACAGCGCTTCAGTTGAGCCGTCAATTCAAAAGGCTGTCGCTGGAACCTTCTGCCTCTCCCTGAGGAAGGTCAAGGCTTCTGGATCCGCAAGATCCAACAACGCTAGCATCTGGCCTTCTCCTGGCAAAGCTGCAAGCTTCAAGGCTGGTTTCAACTGCAGCGACCGTAGATGCGGCTAAGGAGACTCATCGGGCGTTGCGGGCTTCGATTTTTTTCAGTCATGCTTCCAAGCAGGCTGTGAATACTTTGCGGCATGGGCAATCCGTGGTCGGTTGACGCACCGGTAAGTGCAACCAGTGGCATGGGGGAGAGCTGCTTTGCACATAGATCTTATCAAATCCAATTTCTGATGTCTGACAATAGCAAGTGTGCATGACGGAATCCAGGAGTCATTGGCCTGAAGCTCCTCTGGCAGTCAAAGCCCAAAGGTCTCCGAGGCGTTCCTGCTGCTGGCTTGCGTCTGCGACATTCTGGGACAAGCAAAAATTAAGTTTCAGGATCAAACTCAGCACACAAAATTTTCTGCTTTCGGGATCTGCTTTAACCTTGAATTGCTGACATACAGTCGATTACAAAACATCATACAACACCCAGAGTACATTATTCATTAGCCATCGTCGCCGCCGCCGCCGTCTTGGGTGTCAAGTGGATACTAAATCCGTTATAAAGTGGATTGTTCGTCGGAAATCCTCACACAACCCCAAACCCTCGGCAACACCAAACTCTGACACGTAAAGAACCGTAAACAACCCCAAACCTAGATGAACCTGATCCGTAGGCCCTCAAGAACCAAAGAGCAACCCCTACAATTCCAACAGGAAAGAACATCAAACCTAAGACCCTGAACCCTAAAGAACCGTAAATCCTAAACAACCCCAAACCCTCAACAACACTAAAAACCAGGCAACCCCAAGCACTAAGCAAGGCCCAATCCTGAACCCTCGAAAACTGGCAACTGTGCCTCGACAAGCCTCGCCAGAGCTCGACCTCATTTCACACAGAATTTCATGTCTCTAATGCAGAACTTGCTTCAGAGAGCGGATACATTACCTTCAAACAACCTGGAATCAAAAGGATGTGCTGAGCTCCACTCTCGACCGACCAATGGGCAGCAGCTGACCCCTGCTGCTCCTACCAGCTCCCAGCGCATCTGATTCTGCCACAGACTCTCATGCAGTTAAATGCAAAGTCTAGGCCTCACAGGAAGTCCAACTTCAGCCTGTGCAGCCTCCACCTTGAGGTTGGCAACAAATGCTTTGAAGAGTCCAGCCTCGCACTCAGGCCTCAAGCTCTGGCCGCATTACCTTCCCGACCACTGCACTCGCACAAACAGCAATCAAAGAAATTCTAGCCAGCCTTGGCATGGTGGATTGCCTCCACTGAATTTTCCAATGCCTGCATGGGAAGCTAGTTGGACAAGCGGGGGGAGCTGGAGCGAAGAGGCTGCTGCTGGCAACACACATCCCTAGGTGTTGCCCGATCCAGCCTCGCGAACATCAGCCTCCATCACTCCAGCGCCAACGAGCGCATGGATCTCAAGCCGGTCAAGAAACATTGAACAGTCCCGCCAGGGCTAGAAGACAAACGGGCTGAAATGATAGCACTGCAATGACTATGCTTGCCAAGATGCATAGGGGCGAGACGCGCGGTATCCATCAAGAGCTCCCTGTCGCAGGCATGAGGAACTGCTTCCCTTCCACACTGGCTTCTTGCTGGCTTTCTTCCTGCTGTTTGCCAGGGATGAAGTTCGGCATTGATGCTTGCTTTTCCTGCTGGGGATGTTTTACGAGTTCTGTATTCATGATTATTCATGCACGCAGCTTCTTGGGTACAGGAGTGAACTGTCTCTGAGGGTGGAAATGCTCAAGATATCCGAGGATGTTCTGCAGATCCTGAGAAGACAAAAGAACAGTTGGAACTTCTTCAGGTCGAATACATTCGCTGCCATCATTCGGAACTGCAACAACTGCTGCAGGTTGTCTCGCGTACTGTGCCGTTTAAAGCAACACATGTTGGGACAGTCCCAGCTCTTCACAGGGACCACCACACCCTTCAAGGCTTATGATAGGAGCTGGGATATTAAGGATCATTTGGAGTGGCTGACAAAACGACAGTAGCAAAACCGCTCTATCCTCTATCACTCAAAGGCAAAGATTCATCATGCTGCATGAATAAGGCATGGACTGCCAAAGAACACAGAGACTGCAGCACCAGCACCACACTTTGGCTAGACCTTTACGAAAAGGTGGCTGGAGCAACCTACAGAGAAAATAGTAGTTGAAACATGAAGTAACTCAGCTGAGACGAGAGCTTAAAACCACTGACCAAAACGAACAGCAAGACGCACAGAGGAAAGAGCAAGGAAGCAAAAAAAGAAAGCGAAACAGCAAAATCCTGAAAGCAAAAAACACAAAGCAATACTCAGAAGCAAACAAGATCAAAGAATCAAAGATAGCCAGCAACGATAAAGCAAAGAGCAAAAATCCGGGAGCAGAAAAACGTAAACATGCAGAACTCGTCCTTGACATGACACTGAACTTGGATCGTCCTCCAGCAGGGCCGTAGCGTCTGTGACTGCGTCGGAGGGAAAAGGCCACAGTCGGAGACAGGCAGACTCCTTGCAAAGGTTTTGCGGTCATACTGAGCGTTGCCGCGCAGCGATATTCAGATCCAAAAGCGAGCACAAACGGGGGAGGCTGCGGAATTTGACGGTTGTGGCAAGTCCTCCTCTGCTGCAATTTGTTCCACCCAGCGCTCGAGCCAAGAGTCCTGGCAGGAACTGTCGGCTGAAAAAGGCAATGCCACATCATGGCCTTGCCTTCCTGTCGGCTCCATTCACGATGCCGACAACCGCTATTTCCTGCACACCTACCAGAACTGACAGTTTATCAACGAATCGCCTTTTTAGCACCAGGCCTCGTGCCAGCAAAGCAGCCACCACTAATGCAAGCGAGAGGCCCTCATGGGCTCCTGAACCTCACGAAAAAATGATACGTCTCTTCCCTGGGAACAACTTGCCTGACGAGATTCTTGTGCCTGGCAAGAGCACAGCTGCGGCGTTCGGCGCCACAGTGGCCAGCACGTGGCCTTCCAAGCAAGCCTCGCATAGCAAGTCACCACCCCTGCAGGATTGGCTTGACTCTCCCAGTCCTCCACGACCGCCACGGCCTGGCAAGACCGTTCCACCCCCCAAGTAGCTGCAGCGGCCAGCAATTGGGGTACCTGCCGGAAGCACTGCGACCAACTTCCCATACTGAGTGCACCCTTGCCTCTGGCGCTGCTTTCTCGAAGGCCATACCCCAGAAGAGCCCTGATCCTGCAGGCTTGCGTGGGAAAAGATCGCTTTGCAACTCATGCTGTGCTTGAATTGCTTTGTCCAAAACCGGTTGGCTGGTTCGGTTTTGGTCGGGCCCTCCAGCCTGACCTGCCTCTCTGCTACATCAACACTCACACTGCATTCCACGATATCCTGGTTTCCAGAGCGAGCACCGCTCCATCGTCCATTTATTGCTGATGCAGAGCTCGCCGGAGCCTTTGCGGCACCGCAGCACCGAAAAGGGCGCCTCCAGTCTAGAGTGCTCGAGATCATCTTTCAGATTAAGCCGAGCCCCTAGAAGACAGGGTTTTGGGATATCCTTCATCACTGCTGCTCTGTCACTGTGCTTGCCGTCGGAGCCATCCCCTGAATCGCAAAGACCGGCACCTTCGGGACTCGTACACCGTTCTGAAACATGCAATTCACAGCATCGGTTTGCGGAATGCAGAAGCTTGAAGCATTCACACACCTGCACTGCCCCCGCCAGGCGCTGCAGTTTCGTCGCCAAAGCAGGGAACAGCGAGAGCGGCGCTTTGGCCGCCCAGCCATCCTAACGTCGCTTGCAGCACAGGGGGAGGCTCAAGCTGTGAAGCCTGGCGGGTTCTGGCTCCTGGTCCAAGACCTCGGAGCAAGCTCGGTGCAAACGGAGGATGCTGATGGTCTTGGCGAAGGAATCATTAACCTTGCAGAGAGGTTCTAGGCAAGTGAACTAACAGAGAGTATGATCTTAAAAGAGCAGGTCAAGGAACACAGAGCTGGAGGCGTCCGTTCTCGAGGAAGAAACAAACGTCATCCTGCAGATGTCTGAACCTGCCTCTAGCCTTCTAACAGACACATCGAGGAAAAAGACCTAATGCATGCCAGGCAGGTGGTCCCTCGAGCAACGTGCCCTGAAGCTGACCCGCGGTGCCACAAAACGCTTGAATTCAGCAGCCCCGGAGCCGCTCGGGGACATGCAGCAGCGAAGCAGCAACAGGTAGATTACATTTAGGAAGAGGATGCTCGCTGTTAACAGCACTGAAGGATCAAAAGAGCAGCCGAGAACATGAACTAAGCTGGACTACATGTAACGCAGTGAAAATACTATAAGTTGGCACAGCACCTGCCCAGTTGAGATGGCCGCAGGCCGCGTAGCTCAGAGATTGTGCCACCAACAGCTTCGCAAAGAGTAAACACAACTTCAGCAACACAGGCCATCAGAACAGCATTGTTGCTCCCCAAACTTTCCTTAGCTTGTGCTAACAAAGGCCAGTTCCCTGTAGCAGCAACGGCTGGCAAGATCAAAACTTTGCAAGGCTTCATGCCACCTTCCACGTTGGTCGAAGGTCATGATAGCCGAGGCATAAATATTTGAAGTTGCTTCCAGCCCTTGGCCTTGAAGCTCCCGCAGCAGCAAGACTGTCTGCTGCCACTGTCCGTCATTCCCGACTGCAGTCACAAGCACGCTGAAGGTGATAGTGTTTCCTTGCATCTGCTGCTCTTGAACATCCCGAAGCAAAAGCTGTGCCTGCTGCCACATCCCATGCTTTGCACAGGAACTGATAGTTGAGCTGTAGCTAATAACGTCTGCGTGTCGACCTTCTCGGCTATGCTGCAGCAAGGACAGCCACCGCAGACCATGCTTCCACTTGCCTCCTTTTTCGAAAGCACTCATAGCCGCATTATACGTGATGATGTCTTCTGAGACTCCGTTGCTTCGGAGCTCCTGCCACAGACTTTCAGCATACTGCCACTTCTCGCTTGACCTACAAGAAGCGATCGCAGCATTGTACGTAATGACGTTGGCTTGCACTTCTTGAGCTTGAAGCGTTCGCAGTAGTGCCTGTGCGACATCCCAGTTTCCGGTCTTCTCGCACACAGCAATGGCAGAGCTATAAGTGATAATGCTGGCCCGAAGCTTCAGGTCATCAAGCTCCTGCAGCAATCGCAAAGCTTCCTGCCATAAACCTGGCTGCTCACAAGAGCTGATCACAGAGTTGTACGTGATGACATCTAGTTGCACTCTGGCTGATCGCATGTGTCGCAGCCAGAGCTGAGCGTGCTGCCACTGCCCCCCTTTCTCGTGGGAAGAGATGACTGCGTTGTAAGTGATGGTGTTGGCCAGTACGCTTGCATCTTGCATCTCGCAAAACAATGCTTGCGCCTCCTGCCAGCATTCGCCACAAGCACTAATCGCAGCGTTGTATGAGATGGCATTGAGTTGAAGTTGCTTGCGTTGCGCCTCGTGTAGCAACTCGCGTGCTTGTGTCGTCTCTCCTCCCTTCTCACAAGCACTGATTGCAGAATTGAAGCTGATGATGTCCACCTGCATGCCCGTTGACTCTGCATCCTCCAGCAACCAAAGGGCCCACTTCCACTGCCCACTGCGAGCACATGCACTAATTGCTGCGCCAATCGATGCAACAGCTGTTTCCTCGGCAATGGAAGCCTTCTGCAAAAGCTCCTGCAGCAAAAGCAACGCATGTTGCCATTGCTCGCACTTTTCACAGACGCTAACGGCCATGCTGTAATCCAAAGCTTGGGCTGTCATTTGGCTCGCCTTCAAGTCTTGCAGGCACTGCAAAGTCATCCGCCATTCCTCATGATTCACGCAGGTCCGCAGAACGGCGTTGCAGCTCATCTTGTCAGGATTTACGTGGTCAGTTAATGCTGACTCTAGCAATGCCTGGGCCTCACTCCACTTCCCCTGCAGCTCATGGCTTGCAACCACCGAGCCATATGTTATGACATCCATCCGCACTTTGTGTCTTGCTGGGGCTGCCAAAAGAAGCTGCGCCTGATGCCACTCACCTTTTCGTTTGCAAGAGCTGATCAGCGCATTGCACAGGATCACATTTGGTTCAGCTTTTGCAGTGTTCTCGAGATCGCTGAAGAGCTGCAGGGCCTGCTGCCACTCGCCTGCACGCTCGCATGCAGAGATTGCAGAACTGAAGAGGACCACGTTGACCTCAAGATCTTCCTCTTGGAGATCCTTCAACAGCGACAGCGCACGAATCCACTCATCCCCATTTGCACACGCATTGATTGCAGAGCCGTACGTAACTACGTTGGCCTGTCCGGAGCTGCATGTCAAGTCACACAGCAGCTGCAGGCCACTTTGCCACTTCCCTGCCCTAGCACATGCATTGATTGCGGCAGTATATGTAAACACATTTGGTAGATCCTGTGCGCCAACGAGGTCTGCGAGAACAGAGATGGCCTCTCTCCAGGCACTACGTTTGGCGCACTTTGTAATCGCAGCGCTGCAAGCCTTTTGGTTTGTTTGGGGATGCATATGCCCCTTGGGCGCACACTTAACATGGAGCTACATTGGAACATCGTGCCTGGGCTGGGATGGGCCTGAACGGCTGACATGCTGCAAGCAACAGCAATTCCCGCAAGTGTCACAACAGCATTACGGAGCAAAATGCACTGCCAAAACCATTTTGACTCACTGACTCTGGAGTTGTGCCATCGCCCTTACCACTTCAAGGGGACAGGCGAATTCGTCATGCAGGTGCTCTAACAATGGCTCGAAGCTCTTCCTGGCAACTGACATCTACAGCTGTCAAGACTTCTAGGACCTGTTTCCAGGCTCCTGCGGAGGCAAAGACCTGGCTACAGAGAGCCGCCGTGACCAGGTCACCTGAGCCACATTGCCCCAGGTTACGCAACCTCAGGCAGGTGGAAAGTCTCAGCTCAAAGATATCAGAAGCGCATGTGTCTCGTGCAGACAAGGAGCAGCTGCTGTCCAACCTGCCACCCTGCTTTCTGGCAGGCACTCAGCCCTGCATTGTATGTAGTGGTACCTTATGCTGGCAGTTCAGGAACCCAACAATTACCGATGCCACATGTCCACTACTGCCAAAGTGCTGTATTCCAGTCGCTGTCTTCCAACCTCCTGTAGTAGCCTCGCGTTGCATGTTTAAATGGGAGGGGAGCGTCTACATCCTGCGTTTTCACATCAACAATATGACAAGGCATGACATGATAGCTCCACCCAATCCCTTGCAGAACACACTCAGCAGATGGCATGCAAAGCAAGAGGCAAAGGCTCTTTGGCCTCACGGCCACGTTCTATCCCTAATCCCATGAAGCCCACGGCTCGTTCTTGCACCACTTCGGATACATCCACAACAAAGCCGGAAAACAGAGGTAGTTAATGTACAGACCTGCAGATTAGCCGTCTTGCCTCCAGAAGATACCTGGATGAGATTCAATCGCATCTGCTTGATGTCTGGCATGAATCCTTCCCTTGCACCCTGTACTCAATCGGCCTCACCTTACACATCAAGCACAAGGAACTCTACAGCAGGCCGCCACGCCGCCCTCTGTGCACATGCACTGACGGCAGCATTGCAGGCAATGATCTCAGGGAGAACAAGAGACTTCAGGGATTGGTTTGGCAGAAAAACCTTTTGCTAAAAAGTGTTTCCACCAACTTCTTGCAGCAACCTCGCGATCATCTTTAGCTGAAATACCGTGCGCAACTTGGCGTGGACTTTCAAAAAACCCTGGACTTCAGAACAAGAAAATGCAAAGACGCCAAGCCGCCAAGCCGGATAAGGATGAGGCGGAGGCTGCAGCTTCTGCGGGCAGCTGCATCTTCAGCTGCCGCAGCAACATCAGCGCCAGCTCCCACTGACCGGCTTTTTCGCAGGCGCTGATGGTGGCATTAAATGCAATGATATTAGGCATGCGCTGCACCACGAGTTTCTCAAGCAGCAGGCAGGCAGATTGCCACATGCGGCTCTTTTCACATGCAGTGATGGCCGAGCTGTATGAAACCACACTTGCCTGCACCTGCTTAGATCTCAGGGACTGCAGGGACAAATGGGCCAATTGCCATTCTCTTTGTTTACCAAGGCAGCTGATACCGGCATTGAAAACGATAACATCTGCCTGCAGATTGCCTGGTAGGCCTGACACTAGCTTCTGTGCATGCTGCCACCGACTCTGTTTCTCAAAGACACTTATGGCAGAACTGAAAGCAACCACATCCACAACCAGCGCTCCCATGCGCAGATCTTGCAACATCAGAGAAGCACGTGGCCATAGCCCAACTCCTCCTTCACTGACACGTATCGCAGCCGTGTAGCTGGTGCCGTCAACCTGCAACAGCAACAGGTTACCACTGTTGACAATAAACCAGACAGTACAGCGGGCAAGAGCAGGCATCCCTCTCGTTTCTTTCCCTGCTGGGCCTTCAAGCTCCCTGCCAGAAAAAACCGCAGAAGTATCCATGCCTGCTGCCACTTGGCCTCCTCAACATGCGCCGCAAGCACTGTGTTGCGAGAGAGTATATCTGCCTGGAAAGCCTTCTCCGGAAGAGCGTGCAGCAACAATGCTGCCAGCTGCCACACGCCTCCCTTCTCAAGGGAAGAACTCACAGCGTTGTAGGTGATGAGACCAGCTCTTAGTTCTTGACGGTAAAGATCTTCAAGCAAAACCAACGCGCTTTTCCAACCACTCCGCGGTGCACAAGTGCTGCTTATCGCTGAGTTGACGGCAATAATATCAGGATGGAAGTGCCCCAGAAGCATGCCGAACAGCATCAAAGCTCGCTGCCACTGGTGCTTTTTCTCGAAGTTGCTGATTGATGTGCTGTAGGTGATCAGATCCAGCTGCCTTCGATGCTGCAGCTCAGTCAGCAGGCACTGAACGCTGCGCCATGCTGCATTCTCTTCAAAGGTGCTGAGAGCAGCGTTGCTACCAACAATATCGCCTTTCAAACTGCACTCCGCTTGTTCTTTGAGGAACCAGAGTGCCATTGGCCAGTTGCTGGAGCCTTTCACCGAGCGAATGGCAGCGTTGTAAGCGACTACGTTGGCTTTCACCTGCCAGTGAGACAGCTCCTCAAAAAGGAGCAGCGCCGCCTGCCAGCGCTGCTGTCTGCCTAGGGCTGTTATCGCGGCCGTGCAGGTCACGACGTCCACATTCATCTGCTCATCGAGCAGCTTCCTCAAGAGGCTGAGGACCCAGCGCCACTTACCTGCATTCCCGCATGCAATGATCACAGAGGTATACAAGACTTGGTCCAGTAGCACCTGTTGCGTCTTCAACTCGTCCAGTTGTAGAAGGGCTCTCTGCCACTGCACAACCCGGCCGAAGGACTTGATGCTGATGGTGTAGCTTTTCAGCACCCTCTGAGTCACATCCATATGTGATGACCAATGTTACAGACGTCTCATGCGCGATGCAAAGGTCCGCGTCACCGTCCATGCTGGCACCCTAGTGCCCTAGTCCTTTCGCCTAGACCTTCCACACTTTGGGAAACCTAAAAGAGCAGCACAAAGACACAAAAAGACACATGGGTGACCCACAGGGAGTGCAGTGACTGGACAAGCAATGAGCTTAGCAGATCGAATCCGTTTCTGGCTCAGCTTGGCGAGCTCAGAGATCCCTAGATGATCTGCGGCCTCTAAACACGAAATAGTCTCGAGATGATCAGAGGTCGTCTCAAGAGCGCTCACAGCAAAGTAGTATGACAAGACATTCGGTGACGCAGCTTTGCTATGCAACAAGCTGTATGCTTGCCTGGCCCCAGCAGCTTTGGCACAGGCACTGATAGCAGAGGTAAGCATTATCATGTTGGCCATCACTAGCTTCCCCTCAGCCTCTCGTAGCAGAAGCTGTGCTTGCCGCCAAACTCCAGTTCTTTCACAAGCGCTTGTGGCAGAGCTAAAAGTAATCAAATTTGGCTCCATGCCCATGCTGTACATCTCTCGCAGAAGACTTTGGGCAGGCTGCCAGGCCCCTCGCCGCTCAGAAGCCCCAATGGCAGCATTGTAGGATATCACGTCCGGCTGACACTCAGCACTCAGCTCACACAACAGAAGGCGCGCCTGCTGCCATTCCCCACACTTCTCACAGGCGCTGATTGCCGAGTTGTAGGCCACCAAACTTAGCTTCACCTGAAAAGCACGAAGCCTTCTGAGGAACGTCTTCGCCTGCTTCCAGTCTCTGCCTTTCTCGATGACACTCAGGATTGCATTGAAAGTTACTGAGTCTGCCGGCAGCGATCGCTCTAGAAGCTCCTCGAGCAAGTTGAAAGCCAGGCGCCAGTGACCTCCACGCTCACAGGCACTGATGGCCGAGTTGTAAGAGATCACCTTACTTTCACCACCGATCTGTTGGGAAGACAGTTCTGAGTTTCGTTGTAACTCACGCAACGCAAGGTTTCTTCGGAAATGGAGCGATATTGTGCGCGCAGAGTCTTGGTTACACGGAAAGACTGAACGACAACAAAAAGCAAGTGAAGCGGATGGGGCTGCATTTAACACAGATCACATTTGCCCTCACCTCCAGGTGCTGCATCTCTTCGAGCAGCGTCCTCACCTGTGCAAAATCGCTTGCGCACTGGCATGCGCTGATGGCCGCATTGTAGGCCACCACATTGGCTTCAACTTGCTCCTGCACAGCGGGCCACTCTAACCATGAAACAAACAAAATCCCAAGGAATCGCATCCCAGATTGCCTCATGCAACTGGCCAAGGATTTCCAGGCCCTTCTGCCAAGCTCCCGCCCGATCACAGGCACTGATGGCCGACGCGAAGGAAAAGACATCAAGCTGCAGCAAACGGAGCTTCGCCTGGCAAAAATCACCACAAACACAAGGCCGAGCTGGCAAACAACTCGGAGCAGCTAAGTATATTAAATGGCTTTTTTGGATTCCAAGGCGCTTCTCTGAACAGAAATGTAGCCTGCTGCCACTCACCAGCAAGCACACACGCGCTGATGGCCGTGTTGTAGGAAATCGCGTTTGGTTCTATTTCTTTAAATCCATGTAGAAACCATTGGGCGCGAGCCCAAGCTCCGACGAGCACATACGCACCGAGGAGAGTGTTAAAGGTGATCAGGTTCCTTTTTCCCCTTCGCAAAAGCTCGGTAAGCAACAGCTCTGCCCGCTGCCACTCATGGGCAAATGCTAGGACACTCGTCACGGTGTTGAAGGTAATGATATCAGGAAGCACCTGGTGAGTAGGCAAGCCCTGCAGTATGGTGAGAGCCTGCTGCCACTCCGCACCCATCTTGCACGTACTAATGAGAGCATTGAACACGATGATTCCAGCTCCGTCCAAGCCCTTAAGCTGGCAAAACAGACTCCATGCGTTTTGCCATTCTCCCTGCCCATTGCAAGAACTGACAGCTGAGGTGCAGGTGATTGCTGATGCTTGAAGATGGCGTAAAACCATGTTCCGCAGAAGTGACATGGCTACTTGCCAGAAGTCTCCCGTCTCAATTGTGCTAATTGCCGCATTGTATGCGATCGCATTCGGTTGGATGCCCCGCTGCTGCATGCCGCATAATGCGGACAAGGCCGGCTGCCAGCGTCCGTCAGACTTGTAGGAGTTGATGGCTGAAGTATGTGTGATCACGTTCGCCTGCAATGTGACATGCTGAACTCCATTCAGCAGCTGCTGCACAAGCTGCCATCCACCAGTCTGTGCACAAGAAGCCAAAGCTGAGTTACGCATGATCACGTTGCCCTGAACCTCTCGGTCCGCCGCATTGTTCAGCAACTGTAGCGACCATCTCCAAGCAGCACCTTTGGCACAAGCGTTGACAGCTGAAGCAAAGGTAATGACGTTGGCTTGTAGTCGATGGCCCTGCAATACCAGAAGAGCTTTCTGCCACTGTGCCAGCTTTGCGCAAGCGCTGAGGGATGCTGTTAACAACTTCAAGTCCCGGCACGATTCCCCAGCAGATTGATGGACACATGTTCTGATTTGCATGCTTGCTATCGTGGCACACTTTCCGTCATATCCTCAGATCACACTGCCCGAGCAAACTTCTGGCAAGGCAGGTAGCTCGAGCACGCCAGTTTGCATCACATCACATTGCGGCAAACTGCCTGCCCCACCCCTGTCTGACGCCTTTAAGCCAGCACTGCCAGGTCATCAAGGACAACATTTTTCTAGGCAAGTGTGGAAGCACTACAGTGTCCACATGCAGCAGTCGTTCAAAGACTTTGAAGCAGGAGTCAGAGGGGTAGCCTTGCTTGGTAAGCTCCATTGCTTAGCCGCACACTGCACTTGCTGGCAAGAACCTTAATCCACTCGTTGTGCTTGATTATGGAGGCTAATGGTATCGTGGGCTCAAGGTATGCAATCAAATTGAGAGGAGATTTGGGCAAACAACTGCATGCGATTGGACTTGTTGAAGGCAGCGAACACATGATCATCCCAAGGCAGCTGTGCTTTCACTTGCGGACTTTCTGGAAGGCCGTTGATAACAAACACGCTCATGAAGCCATTTTCCTACGTGTCCTTCTACAAGTGCAGCTTTGGGCACAGATAAATGCGGGTCCAGCAGGAGTCAGCCTGCCCAGCTTGAGCTACAGCACGAGGTGTCACTGCGCTGTCTCTCATGGCACAGGCTTTCCAGGAGCAATTGCCACACGACCAGATGTGAGGAAAGTTCTGAAAATTCTGACCTGCGTCCGCCCCTAGTCCATAAACTCTTTGATCGTAGCCACGACATGGAGAGGGAATCAGCAGCACTGCCTGTCGGATGAATAAGCGGACAGCGACGTTGGCTATTGCAAGCCAACCATCAGACTATTTGGTGTTAAGATCTTGTTAACCTTCGTCATGAATGTTGGGCTTGCTGGGCATAAGTTGCCAGAACCTTGCAATGCTCCTCCAGGTTATTTCGCAGCTGCCAGGCTTGCAGCTGCAGCTCACAATTGCAGCCCGCTTCATGCACAAGTGGCAGGGCCGCTGCAAACTTCCCAGCTTGCGAGCAAGCAAAAGCAACCGAACTACGGGAAATGACATCAGCCTGCAGCTGCTGCTGAGGCAGTGTGTGAAATAGAATGTGAGCCTGTTGCCACTCGTCACCTTTTGCACAAGAGCCAATAGTTGCATTGTACGTGATAAGGTTGATCTCCAAAAGCCCTTTCCAGGCCTCCTGCAGATGAAAAAAGGCGGGCTGCCATTGACAACCCTGCTCGAAGGCACTGATCAAAGAGCTGTAGGTGATGATATCAGCTCGCGCACCCTCAGCCTTGAGTTGCTGCATTAAATGCAGGGCATACTGCCACTTGCCGCACTTCTGACATGCGCTGATAGCAGCATTGAAAGTCACTGTATCCGCGCGGAGGACCTGCTCCTTCATCTCATAAAGCAGCTGTAAGGCCTGCTGCCAGGCAGCACCCTTTTCGCAGCTGCTGATGGCCGAATTGACTACTATGCTGTTGCGGGCCAGTCTGAAATGCTGCAGCTGCCGAAGACACCCGCAAGCCAATCGCCACGCCCCATGCGCCTCATGTGCGGCAAGCGCCCCACCAAAGCTGATAACATCCGGCTGCAGGAACCTTGCCCGGACATCGCCGAACACGAGCAAGGCACGCTCCCATTCTCTAGCCTTCTGGTGCGAGCTTGAAAGCACGTTGCAGGTTGTAACATCTGCTTGTAGCCATTGCCTTTGAAGCTCCTGAAACTGCAGATTGGCCTGTTGCCACTCCTTTTCCTTCTCACAAGCATTTATCATGGAGTTGTAAGTAATCGTATCTTGCAGGAGATTTTCCAACTTGAGCTCTTCCAACAGGGAGGAGGCACCTCTCCACGCTCCTGCTTTACCACTTGCACTGATCGTCACGTTGTAGGTAATTGTATCAGGCTCCAAGCTCCTATGATGAAACAGGATGCAAGCCCTCTCCCAATATCCAAGCCTCTCGGTAGCAGCAGCTGCAGCATTGAGCGTGATCCCATTTGGCCGGATCTGGTCTTGGAGTAGGCCATGCATAAGACTTTGCGTTTGAAGCCATGCGCCAGCATTTCCACAGGCAGTGACCAAGGAGCTCAAACTGATGATGTCAGGTTGCAGGTGCGTCTGAGGAACATCATGCAGTAGCAGAAAAGCTTTCGTCCACGCTGCAGCTCTGGCGCATGCTGCAAAAGCAGCACCATATGCTATCTGATCAGCTTCGATGTCATCTCGGCAGAACCTGTGCGAGAATTTTCACTTCCCGAGTGGCTACTGCTGCTGTGCTCGCGGCTCGAATCCAATGACCCAAGATAAACTTAAGACGAGCTTCTGGAAAAGTAAGGCCATGACTGGCTGCCAGAACATGGCCTTGCCGTGGTGCTTGATCGCAACGGTCCCAGACTTCACAGACTTCAGGTCTCTGCCCGGAGGGCAAACCGCAAGCCTGGCCTGGGGACGCAAAGGGCGCATAGGTATCTTCCATCCACTGAAAGGAAACCCCTATGCCATTATGCAGACCCCATCACCCTGCTTTGGGCATAGTTGGGCCACACAGTTGCAACGACTGGCCGAGTGCTGCATTCGCATTTGTCAAAGTCAGACGGGCTGCGGCTACTGACTACGGTTTAACATCCTCTGCAAGGATCAGTCCGCCCTCCAACTGCTGGCGCTGCGTAGCCTCTTTTCCGACAGGCTACGAACCTTGCTGTGCCAAGCAGTGGACACACGGACACAAGGACCAAGGATCCGCACTACATGAAACAAGCAATTGTCGCGTGTGTGGGGGGGCTCATCAGTCTGAAAGCTCATACCACTTGCATAGGTCAAGTGTTGTGGAAGAGTCTCTCTCTGAAACTCTGGTCTGCGGATGTCAAAAGGTTCTATAAGTTCGTCTATGCAAGATGAGGCCCAATTGGCCTGGATCAGGCTGTGTGTTGCAGCTTTTGCAGCTACAGAGTGATGGCATGGTTTCTCGTGCAGCTGCAAATTATTCTATGGTGATAAACGTGAACAGCCGCCTACCATCACACCACAGAACACACAGCCCCGCGGCAGTTTGCCAAATTCCCAGAAGCACTTCTGGAATCAACCTGCCTCATACAGCTGCCCAAGTGGCAGCTGCCAGCCGGATCACACCATCACGACCTGCTGAAGGCTGTTCACGCATGCATGCTTAACTGACCATTTAATGTTCACCTAGCGTGAATAAAGGGGGTGACAACAGAAGGAGTCCTCGTCCTCCTCCCACCACCACCAAGATGACGACAACTACGACGACTAGTATGACACGTACGACCAGCACTTGTATACGAATGCTAGTACTACCTGCGCTACTTAATGCTACCCCAACCCCCTAGCTCATTGTTACGACACTCCAAAACCGCAAACTGAGTCTTTGGAGATTCTTTTCTGTCTGGTTCACATTACCATGTGCACGCAATCCTTGGCGATAGCTCTCAGTGGTGTCATTCTGCCCCAAACTTGAGACAAAACCAGGGATCAAAACTCACCAGCACCTTAAACGCCACTCCACTTGGGCTTCAGCCTAGTCAGGCGAATGATTGGCCAGCCTTGCGGAAAGTTTGCATTGGAAAGGCTCCTCACAACATGAGGCAAATGACGCGGTACTTGGAGTAGTCACCAGGTCGTGAGATAAATTTTCTTCGGGCGAGGTACGATGGAAATTGCAGCACAGCCTGCTCGGCAGATAGCAGCTGTGGACTGCGCCTGCTATGTTGAGTCTGAGTGCCAAGCTGCTTGGCGGCTGACCATGAGGTGTACACAAAGAGGACAACACCCAGCAGGAGCACGGCACCATCCAGCGCCTCAGTGGGTTGGTGCTTGGGGGAATTTCTCTCCCTTGCCAGGTTGCCTCTCAAGATCTCTGGAGAATGGCAATGCTTGAGGCCAAACCCCCTACCCAGGCTCCCTCGACTCTCCCTCATGGGCCCCTAGCCTAGGCTGCCTCCCCCCTCTTAGCAACATTCCAAGAATCGGAGGCTTTTCCGTCCAACAAGCCTGCGGCTGCCTGTGAGACGGATCGGTGTTGGGATTTCCGCGCGGGAAACAAGGCCCGCCCAGGGCCGTTGCCCTAAGCTTTGCTTTGCCAACCTGCTCCTGTGTTCCAGTCTGGCTTCAGTAGCGCACGCTTTTGATGAAGTGCAGGGCGACTAGTGGAGACCTCTTGGGTGAGAAACAGGACCATGGCGCTCATGATGCTGGGATACTCGGTCAACATCATCAGCAGAATTTCGATTTCTCGACCAAGTGGCCTATGACACAAGTGTCTATCTTGGACCAGAAGCTGCTGGCGTTGCTCGCCTTTAACAGTTGAGGGTCCGAGCCACCTAAAGCTTTGTTGGTCACTGGACCTTCGTTTGTCAAACCGGCCCTGCTGGCTTCCACCGTGTATGCAGCTGCAAAGTTACAATGCATTATTGAGGCTTGCCCCTACCAAAAGGCTGCATGTTTGAGGAATTGTTGTCCAAGAGCAAGCATCATGAGCACATGCTTAACAAACCAGTCTTTCGCCCAAGCTCGCACCAAAGAGATCCATGTCTCACCCTCCAGACACTTGCGTTGCTCACACACCCTTCGCCACCCGTTATGGAGGTTTAGTAGTTTAGCTTGTCTCACGGGTAGGCTATCATGGTTGTGTGGAAGTTTCATGACGGGTTTAGGCTGTTTTTCATGGCTGCTTTGTTTCTGACGAGTTTCCGGTTTTATCATGCCGTGCAGGGTTTTGGGGTTTGCGATGATGATGATGATGATGTCATTTCGTCATGGTTTGTAGTTGCTCCTACTTGTATGCAGGTTCGTTGCGAAGTTACTTTATGGGGTGCATGGGTTCATCATGGTTTGAAAACACTGCATGCATCTTTCACGATCATTGTAAGTGGCACGAGTTGGAAAGAGTGCATCTCAGAAGCCCAGCTGTGCTGATGATGCTTCTGTGTTTGTGCCTTCCCTGCCACTTATGGCTCCTCTGGCTCCTCTTGCTTGGTAAGCAGGACTGACCCCCGCCGTCGGTGTAAGAACCTTCCCCGCTGGATCCTCAGCACTTAGCAATGTGTGCGTGATCTGAAACAATATCATATTGGCCTTGGCTATAATTGATGAAGGATGAAATGGGGTCATAAAGACGGAGGCTTCACTGAGGATCAATGCACTGGCCATGAAAGGCTGAGGGTCTGTCGCTCTCCAGCTTGCCAGGCTTGCAGATCTGCCCAACAATTATGTTGAGAAGACTTCTGCTCTTGGCTGCAGCACAAGCTACCTAGCCATGCATTTTGCAGGTGAAGTTGGCACCACCTTGACGTAGCAAACGATGGGAAAAATGAAGGCCAGTGGCACCTGAGGCAGAAACCGCTTCTCCGAATTTTGAAGTTGCTAAGTCACATGAAAAATACAATTCAAGTTCACCTCTGAGCCGCCCACACAACAAAATGATCCAATCAGCGAAATGAAGGCATCAAGTCGATTTTTCCCCAAAATCGATATTATGGCCTCAGAACTACCGATCATGTTTTGGACCGGCTAGAGTCTGCGTGCCAATCGCTCAGGCAAGAGCGCACGCACAAATCAACATTGTCCTGAAGTTGCCAAAAGCAGACCGACTCAGTGTTGCAAATGGTTCACGGAGCTGCTCAAGGCTCGCCGCATTCTACGTGATATACTGTCTGTATACCCGGTTGCGTTCATTCGATGTGCGAAAACGTACCTCATTTGCTTACTGAGTTGGTGGAACTACAATCTTCTTCTGAGCCTTATTGTCCTGCTCAATTATGAAGTGGCCAAAGTTTTGTGGAACTCTGCACGTCAAGATACAGAGGTTGAGGGTGGGCAAAGGAGGTTGAGACCTTAACTGCAGGTCAACCATCATCCATGATTACTGGATGGAATAAGCCTGAAATACCTTCAAAAGCTCACTACCCCAACGCCTTCCTGAACTAGGAGAGTTGTAGAGAGCAGTCCTCATGCCGTTGATCTTCAACAGCGTGTGAGGACCTTGACAAATTTTGCAGGCGCAGTTCCGATGCGGGAAATCAAGCCAAGGGCTGGTAGCTGCTGGTCTCGAAGCAGGATTATTATGCTTGCCGTCAGATCACAAAAAAAACATGACCCAAGCCTTCTGCCGTGGACACAGAGGCTGCTACCAGGTCTTGCCAAATCGGCAAAAAGCAGAGTTTCCAGGTACGCAGCAGCCTCAAGCTCAAGCAGGGAAGTCATCTGCTGAAATAACCCCTATGAACATCTGCAAAGTGTCGAAGGGAGTTGTTTCGTCATTTGCCAAGCTTAGCTCAGCCCCCGGCTGGGAAGAGGAACAGGGGCACATTGAACCTTAAGACTCGAGGCCTGTGTTTTCAGATCTGAAAGCTTCTTGCGAAGACTCTAACGGCGTACAGGCTGACCTAGCACATAACCCATACATCAAAAGTAGCGAACTCGCATGTCACCATCCGAACATCTGAGAGGTCTAACCTGAGGACCCGCACAGAGATGCCAAGGCAAAAGCAAAGGGGATCACGTGGCCAACACGAGTGCCCCTTGGTGGTTTATCCGTTTTGTGCAAGACCCTACCGTAGCACCCGCATCAGGCTCAATGTCAGGGCCCCGACTTTGGCAAGTTCAATGTGATGACATCCCTTGCAAGCTTGGAGGTAACAGGCACTCCAACAGATCAGAAAACGAGCGCCAGAATGCGTCAATAGCGGGGGAATGCTTTTAACAGACCTAGCACGTTCAAAATCTCGACTCAGTCAACTGTCGCAGCAACCTAGCTGAGAGAGGGCACTTGGTCTCGTCACCGTAGCGAAGGTAGTTCACAGCACCAAACCTCAATGGGCGCACTTTGCAAGCTCAGATTAAACATCCTACCGGAAAGCAAAGAGAGTCTTGACTTAAGCAACGCATGCGCAAACGCATAGATGAAACAAACCTGTGCAACTGCGCAAGCAACATTGGCATTCCCTTCATGCACAGCCTTCATGCATTCAAAACAGATTTGCACACTCAGCACCTGGCACGATGAACAGGAAGCATACCCCTGACATCTTCGAGGACATGGACTGTCTATTCTGAGAGCAGCAAATTCAAGGCTGGCATGTCCTGTGGTCTCCTTGAACGCTTTGGCTTTGCCGCATACGTGCCGAGACGAATGCCAGGATGCCACGGAAACACCAACTGCCGCCAAGAGGCCAACCAAGGTTATGACAAGGATGGGCGCGAACCTGAAATGCTCTGCGCCACATGGAGCGCAGCCCGTTGCCGGCGGGAAGACATGACTCATTCAACTTGCAAGCCAACTTGCATAGGCCAATGAGCCGCGCACGTCTCTTTCTGCTCGTGGGCATCGTACCTTTGTCCAAACAATCTTGTGCAGGCATTTGTGCACGCATCCAGCTGACCTTGTTCTCCGCAAGACTCATTCTGTGCAGAGTCGGGCTGAAAGAGAAAGTCTTACACTGTCATGCGTGAAAAGAACCTTCGCATCCAACCAGGCCGCCCACATTGGTATCACGAAGTTAATGCACTCAAATGAGAACACCACCATGCCAGCAAAAATCATCCAGTTAGGACCTGATAGGATCATGCAACAAGAATGTTGAGAACTCAAGACAAGTGAAGTTTTATGCATATAACTTGTTAGGAGCCAAACCGGCCAGCTGTATGTCCGGTCCAACCTGGTCACCTTGGCAAGTGCACAGCTGCAAACCAGGCGCGATTTGAAAAACAAACCTAACATCTACACCTAGCATGAGGACGCTTCCAAGAATCCAAAGCCAGACTCCCAACATGAAATGTTTATCTTCCACAATCATAATTTCGAATCGGACGGATGGGCTCCTACGCCTGCTACGAAACACACCATTTTTGAAAGCACGGCATTTTTCATGTCTCCAAAAGAACACTGACATGAAAGGACCGCTGACATCCACAAGTGTCTCAGGCTGAAAATCTTTTTATTACAAACGGACAACTACGGTTTGAGCTAAGGAGCCAACGAACACAATGCCAGACTTGCACTGGCTGACAAGTTGGAAAAACGAGTGACCCAACCATCGACAGAAGTTAGACTCTGGACTAGCTTGCCAGGTCGACACATCCCTGAAATCTCTGATGTTGCAAAGATGTGGATCTGCAAAGATGCGCTGAGAGCTCTGAGAGCCCCTGCCAGCTATGCCTGCAATTGCGTAGGAAAGCCTCGGCTCTTGTTCAGCTAAAATTTTGACAACACAAAATTTTGCTGGAACCTGCGATCAGATGTCTTGGCAACTGCATTTCCAGCAATGCTGCAAAGCCAGTGCAAGGCAGCTGCAAGACAGCCAGGGCAAGCAGGACCTGAGCTCACAGGCCAACAAGGTGTTTGGCTCGGCTGAGGCCAAGTGCAAGCCCAGAAAGTCGCTTAATTGCCGAGACCAACCAGGTGCAAGGTAATTCCGAAGCTCTTTCGAACAAGGGAACGCTAGGGAGACGATGACATGCTGCAAAATATAATCTGCACGAGAAGAAAAGCACCACAATTTCAGAGGCTGCTTGGCTTTTGAGAAGGTGGAACCTACTACCCTTCCAGCGTAGAGCAGCGTTTTAGAGGAGCATGGTACTGTAAAGCTGAGTAGTCATCTGTAGTGGGTATGATAACCTCCATCTGGTATGGGGCTATCCTACAACTGAGAGACCCCTGCCCTACCCTAACCTGGACAGAAACCCTTTTTTGGTAAAAAATGAATGAGGGTCATCTAGGGGCGCCCTGACTCAAAGACAGGTTTACTGAAGCAACCGAGAGCAAAATACGCAAACTCTGAAGATTAAGGTTCTCAATCCTACTGGCTGATGAGGTCCTGCTCTCAGCAGCAGCTGCCGAAACGTAGACCCTAAACCCCCCTTGCCCCGAAGGAACCCGCTCAAACCCTCAAGCGGAAAACGCCACAAAATCCTGAACCCTGAACAACCCCAAATCCTAAACCGTAAACAAACCCCAACCCCAAAAACAGATGCCAAACCTGAACCTTATACACTGAACAACGTCAAGCCCAAACCTCAAGCAACCCTCAACCGTCAGCCCCAAACAAGCCTGACAGCAGACCTTCGACAGCAAAACTTATAGACAACCCCAAACCCTAAAAGTAAATTTTAGACGCCCCATAGTTTTTTCAATAAAAAAGAGGTGTCCCCAGAGGGGCGATTCATTTTCCAATTGTTGTGTGCTGCTTCCTGGATAGGCTTGGGAGTTTCAAGGCTTCGGTGCGACGTCACAGCAAACAAAAACCTCCCTTCGGCACAGATGGAAGCATCTTAAAATGTGTCCTCAAAATAAACGAAACTTACACAATAGCTTTTCAAACAGGCAAAGTGGAGTTCACGTCCTGAAGGAGCAGAACCTGACCAGAGGCTCCTACAACTTCAGCGAGGTGCAACAATCCATAGAGGTGTAGATGTGCAGATAGTGTTGCGGAAATTGCGGGACGTCGTGAATCAAGTGCCCGCCAGAATGAACAGCCGAACCCCGAGCAACCTGCAAACCAAACAGCCGCAAACGATGAACCCCAAACAAACCTAAGCCCCAAACCTTAAATCCCAAAAACCCTAAGCCGCCCTGAGCCCTGATCCAAAAACCTAAGCAACCCAAAAGCCTCAGCACGAGAAGTCCATGAACAACCCAACTTGCAAACAACCACAAATACTCTAAAGCTGAACCACTGCAAGCCCTATGGACAAACACTGAATTGTAAACAGCCGTCAGCCTAAAGCCCCAAGCCCTAAAGTATCTAACCCCAATAAACATCCCGAATCCCATACCCAAAACAGTCCAGCTTAAAAGACCCTCAACCTGAAACAACCCAAGCCCTTAACCTTCAAACCCTAAAACCTAAACAATGCCATACGCTAAACCGGGCAGGGACTCTACGTAAGATCTGACTATGATTCTGACAAGGGCTTGTCAAGCTGCAACAGTCTTGGCTGGATCAGAAACCTCCACGCTTCGTTTTTTTGAGGACGATGAGATTGAACTGCCCTGATGCATTCTTTCCCCCGCAGAGAATTTACAAACTTCGTCTGCTCAGCTTTTTGGCGGCACCCTCTCCGGCAAAAGCGGTAACTCGCAGAAGCGCTGTCCAAGACCTCTGAGGAAGCAACTGTGGTGTTGGCGATGAGGTTGGAAACCTGAACCGTCCAGGATATCCAGGATGAACAGCTGGTAATATGGTCAACTTGCATGCAAAAGCGTGTATAGTCCATACCCTTCACAGGAACAACTTGCCGCAAAAGCAGGCATGCAATTTGAATCAGACCTTTGCCTGAAAATACTTGAGCTGCCGTATCCAAGACATTGGTATGACCACGAAGAGCTGCAGCAGAAGAATACTTTGCTCCGACCTGAGGCAAGAAATGTCGCGGCTGCTGGACATAGCTGGAAAGCTGTTCATGCACAAACGTCGGCAGCCTGAGCATGAAGAGTTGGTGGACCATGCATGGCAACTAAGGCTCATGCACCAGCAATTTCACTGCTTAGTGGCCAGAAGAAACAGACTTTCTGCTGGTCATTCTGCAGGTCTGACTGGGTCCGATGCCACAGGGGTGACATCAGTCCCAAAGCCTGCTGGCATAAATGGAAGGTATTGAAAACCCAGGCCTTGCAAGTATGGCCACTTATGGGTCATTCCATGGCTACAAACAGTCCTGAAGAGCGCCATTGCAGTTTTTCGCCACATAGAGCATCTCGGAACCTAAGCCAAGGTTTGCCTGGTTTGCTCTGATTTCAGGCAGGCGAAATACTTCAGCTTTGAGTGGCCGGCAGACAAAGCCAGTTTGGGAGAGCAAGATGCTCATGTCCACTGCCCAACTCCCTACCGGACCCATGGCCATCCTTGCGAGACACACAGTGGTTCTAGAACCATGCCAAAACCTTTATCTTCACATCTCCCTCAACAACAACCAAGCAGGTGACGATCAAATGAAATGTGCTTACCATACCATGCACCTGGCAATGTCACCGTAGGTTCCACCACCCAGCGTGCGAACGCACCTGCCATCAGCCAAGCAACCAGCAAACTGCGTATGTAGGCTTCTGGGCATACGGTCTCCTTCTATCGACGACAATATTGAAGCGCAAAACAAAAAGAGCTAAAAGGGTTGCAGACAAAGTGGGGGTTCCCTCCCACCATCGAGAAAAACACAACTGCATCTTGCCTCACCAGGAGAACCATGCCTGCATTGCCATTTCCAAGTGCCAGTGCCGTCCAGTCACACGCAGCACAAAAAAAGCCTGAAGGCTGGCAAAACTGAACAGGCGGTGATTAAAAATACCTTTTCTAGAAAATTGCCAACTCTTGCGAAAAAGTGCAATCCTTTGGCACCGTCTTTCGCAGATCTTTTGCGCGGGCCATTTGGCGTAGGGTTTTTGCATTCATCAGGAGTTTTTAAACTTGTAACATGTAACTTAACATGTAACACGAAGACAAGTGCCACTTCATAATAATCACACCACCACCAAGCATGATCAGGATCTAGATGATGGCAGCAACGTGGCGAAGGAACAACAAACCACGACTGACCATGCTGTCCGCTCATGAAGCTGGCGGGTCACCAGGCGGCTTTCAAACTCAACTTCTTTCCATGGCTGGCTTGAAAGAGCTACCAGTTTGCAGCCGCCGCTCTTTCGCCGTTTTTCGCGAGATTTTCGCGGATTCTACGCAACTGAATCCCAAACATAGCGAAACACCACAAATGCATAAAGGCTGGAAAGTATTCTGTGTGATGCTTCTGGCATTCTCCGTGATGGTTCTGGCTAGGTTGCTGAAGCACCAAGCCGGCAGGTACCAGGTATAATAGGATGAAAGATTTATCGGTGCTATACACGCATGCCTGTAGCTAAAAGAGATGATATCCAAAGTCGTGACAATCGTCAAATTTTTGCGAGAAAAAGTGCAAATCCTTTCGCGCCTTGTTTCGCGGATCTTTCGTTTAAAATCCTGAAAATGGTCGCTCTTATACTAACTGAAGACAAGGACCTTTGGAACAACCCACACATATGGCACTGGCATTATCCAAGCTGCGTCCAAGGCACAATAAATCTCGATGCCGCCGATGAAGAGCAGCTCCCTGGCAAACTGCAACATTGCACTGGCAGAAAGCTCTGGCGGTTTGACAGTTCGATCATCTTACCGACTTCATCTTTAACTAGCATGACTGCACATCTGGTGGCGGTGCCAGCTGCGCTGGACGCGCAGGCGAGAACGTGAACCGTGCTGCTCTGCCGCTCTCCCGCACAAAGAGGAGCTGGCAGTCTCCCTTCACAAAAATCAGCCGGAATCACAACGGAGCCACGAGAAGTCCAGTCCGGGCAAAGGCACCGGGAATAATGATCAGCGTACCACCTCAGGAAAGTACGGGGATAAGGCCCTCCCTTCGACAAAGTCCCACTTCCAGCTTGCCAGCAACTCTTTGCCCTCTGCATCTCACAGCCAGAGTCTGTGACCAAACGAATTGTCTGTGGCATGGCTGACACCTGGCCAGCGAAAATGCCAGATGGCATGTCTCCTCTTCCAAGTTCGGACTGACAACTGAGCGTGTGCGAAAGGACTTTACGAGTGAAGGATTGTTTTGGCACTAGAGACACCAACAACTCAGGTGGAGGAGATGAAATGGAGAGTAACATTGGTCCGACCTACGGCGGATCTTACCACGGCAAGGTGCATCTGTGCCAGCCGCTAGCGTGGCACATGCCCGCGAAGATTGAGGGTCCACACTCAGCTTGCAGCTGTTAGGTGGATGCGCAGGGAAAACGAAATGAGCAACTTCTCAACGGACCAAAAGCAGGCTGCAGGCTGCTAATGCCGCAAATGCCGCTACTGCACTATCTGTGTCTTTTGAAACTGCCTGTTTACGATGCCTCAGACTCGGCTGCGTCGAGCAAAGCCCTGTCCTCATCGCTCTGCGTAGATGCATTCACGGTGGAATTGGCAACGATCTCCTCAGCCTCCATGGTCGGGGGCACAGGGGCAGAGAGCTTCTTCACCAAAACATCCGGCACACCAGACTCGTCACGAACGATCATGATCTCCTCGTCCAGGTATGTCACCTTGGACTGCCGCAGACTTGATGCAGAAAGAGTATGCAGGACACCTGGAAGTTTGAGCAAGCCTCAGTCTGCCGAGTTGCCAGAATGCTTCGTCGCAGCTCAAGAGGAAGTTCCTGGCTGCCAATGGGATCCGGCAACTTCACTGAGACCACCTCCTCGCTCATCCGCGCCGAGCTGAGAGGCATGAGCTCAGCCTTGCATGCGGCATATGCGGCACATTTCCCCTTCCTTTAAGTCCTGGCATGTCAACTTGAAATCAGCACTAGCCATTAAGCTAAAAAGTTGTCCGAGCTCTTGCTCCAGAAACCTTGTAAGTCAGAGTCTCTTGACGGCCAGCGACCTCGATCTCAGCGGCAGCCTCGACATCACGGCCGCCGGTGATCTGAACAGTCTTGGACCCAAGCTTCAGGCCTGCCGTCTGTCCCCAGAAGCCCTGGGCGAAGGAGGAGAGGGCATTGCCGAGAGAGAAGCCGCCACCGTACAAAAAGAGCGCAAGTTCTCGAGTAGGCGAGGACAGCAGACCAGGCGCATAGGATCCGGTGTACTTCACGACCCAAGTGCCGTCTAGGTCGACAGAGTAGACGGGCTCCTAATCTACAAAAACACGGAACAGCCTTACGCGCAAGCAAGACAGCAGAAATGCAATGCGGCAAAGCGCATGCGCATCCACTGTGATTCCAAGCCATGGGTTTTTGGATTTCATCATGGAGGCAGTGGACATTGTGGAAAGCAGTGCCCAGCGAAGACTTTTCCGCTTTGTCTTAATAATCTTAATAATGGATTGGGGACACTCAATACACGTGCCTGCTTGGACAGAGACAACCAGTTTTTTTGGATCAGTATGATTCATCAAACAAGTGGAAATTGGCATTGGTACAAGTCGGTTGATTGCCTGCCGTGTGCTTCAGAGCCAAGCTTTTCGAATCTTCATGCCAGGGCCAGCATGACATGATGTGACATTTTCTACTTCATGTACATGATGGGCCCCTCCCATGCCACATATGGAAAAGAATCACAAATGAACATTCGTGACTCCATGTCTGCTTTTAGCTTTATAGCGCTACACTCTCCTCGTTGGTGTTCAGCCTTTCTAGGCGAACGATTGCCTCATCCACACGGCCTCGCATGGGTTTGCCCTCGGGCCGAAGGACCTCCTCCTCCAGGGAGCTATCCTCCAACAGGTCCATAAGCCGCTCCTTGGCATCCTGCAAAAGTGGAGAGCCGAGTCCGGCTGCCGGCTCAACTTCAACGTCCGTGACCGTGGCCCGAGCGGCAAGGCGCTGGAGGCGAGGGCCACTCAAACCTGCCACAAAGCTGACGGAAGCGCCGACAAAGCCTGCCGCAATCAGGGCGGACAGGGCTGAAGCGCGGACACCGCGGGCTCGGCGCTGCGCCATTGCGATGGGAAGCGAGTTGGACAACTGGCAAGTCTCCAGAACTGGGCAAAGGCAACGGAGCAGCATCTTCACAAGCTTCCAAATCGGAAACAGTGACATCATTGCAAAGTTCCGCTCAAAGCTGGACTTCCAGATTGAATCTCCAAGGCCCAGTCCCACTGTGGACTTGAGAATGACCAGCACCTTAACCGAAACCAATTCTCACCCTTCAGGACAAGCTGACAAGCAAATCGCCTGTGCTCGCTCACTGTTCGCCTGTGCTTGTGGCCTGTGGCCCGCACGGTGGACAGGTTGGAGGCCCCCACGCTGGCCGTAGACGCACTAGATGACCCAACCTGAAAAGATCTAAAGGCTCTCTTCTGGATATGCGCTAGGTACGACAAAGCCCTTCCTGCGACTCAAAAGTCTTCGAAAAGTAATGCTGCAATCGCGGATCGAGCATCCTGGGTGGATCAGGCCAAGCGAGTCAATTGGAGATCAGCTCGGTTTTCTTTCGTGCTCAGCTGCAAACGATTGTTGCCAAGACGTGTTTGTGAAACAGGTATGCTCGAACTGGGAGCCACACGAGTCTAGCAGCGGCCGCTCCGCTGCTGCATTCGGTGCCTGACGCCTGAAGCTCGCAAGGCTGGCTACAAATTCATCGCAATCTGAGCGCAAGCAAGTCAAGCTCACGGCAAAACATGCTCCCGTCGGAAGCCACCGGGCTGCGCTATGTCCTCAGTAGTGGGCTATGATTGGTATGGAGCTGCTCATCACTACGCTGACACACAACAGATTGGCGGACCAAAGTGAGCTTGCGACGCTGGCCCTTCCAAGCTCCGGGAACAGCGGCTGAACTGGGGCACGCTTTAGTCCCTTTGCTCTAAGCGATCCCATTTGCAGCTGTCCCGATCTGGAGCTTCTACGCCGCGTGTGAACTAGCAAAGTCAAAGCTAACTTCATTATATTGAGTTGCACCTATGTGGAAGAGGGTCACTTACGGTTGCAGTAAGCCTGCTCCTAGCCCTGCAGGAAGGAACCATTAATCTGGTAGCCCTTACTCCAATACTCACAGAACCAAAGGGCACCAAGCCTTTAGTTAACAAACTTACGTCCCAGGTCAGGGTCTGTCTGCGCAGTGTTGTGAAGTCACAAATCAAGCAGGCTTTGAAAGAAATCCAAGCCTGGCAGCTCTGGAAGGCTCGAAGAGCGTTGACGGGACACCTATCAATGCAACTGCTGCTACAGACTGCTTTGCTAACAGCAAGCATTTGCGATTGCAGGCTGACAACATACGAGTAAAGGATCCCCACGCAGGATACATTCAAAGAAAGTACACGTCTATGCAGAGTCTTGTCTGCCTCGAGGTCACTGTTCTGGCTAAATGCCTGTGCCTGCGGTTTCATGTGAATCTCAGGTAGGGCAGACGAAGAGGGAGCACTTGGGGCATGGCATTGGCTTGCTGGTGAATTCTGCAGTCTGACTGGTGAATTCTGGAATGTCACAAGGATTGACTGGCCTGCGCCCAGATTTGCTAACCCGCATGCCCTCAAGGTCACCCCGTCTCAGCAAGTCTCTGCAACCACGAATTGCCGACATTGAATAGGGAACGGCCTGCTGCGCACCATTTCGGCTCAGCGACCTCTTGTAGTCCCGGACAACCTCATCCTGCAAAAAGAGGAGAGGCAAAGCTTGATGTTCCAATAACAGCACCTTGGATGCATTTAGAGCCCTCTCCTCGGCCATGGGTTTGCGGTGTGCCAGCTGCACCCTCAGCTGTGCCGGGAAGCTCTCGCATGCCGATGTGTGGGGCTTGATCAATGCCGAAGAGCAAGCCAACTTAACGCGCAGACACACGAACTGAGGTTGTGGCAGCTGCACGCTTGAGCGGCTTCCGTTCGACCCACTCAAGTCATTCTCACAGCGCACGCGCATCAAACATTGTTTCCACTTGCCGGACGTAAAATTCATAGGCTATGGTTGAGCATGCATGCTTCGTTCGCAGAACTATGCCACATGATGGCATACCACATGCCATGAGCAGGGCCTAATTTTGCTTGAAAACTGCAGGAACTAAACGTTGCAAATCGTCACATCGCTCAAGACAGCCCCGCCGTGGCCCTGCGTTCCAATTCCATAGTGTCAAGAAAGTCACGCTTCCGATTCAAAGCCTTTGTTCACCTCTGCGACTCTCCGTCATTTGGATGAAACCTCTAAGCCACATTCAAAAAAGATTCTCGTCTCTCATTGCGGAAACGCCGACATGGCATTTACTCAGAGCACGGAATTCGCTTTGAAACTTTCTAGCTCACGCGACTGTAGATGCTAAGGTGCAAGGTTCCATGCTCCGCATTCCGAGGAACGTTGCTAGTGGCACATGGTTATCAGAGTTGGTTTCTCGTTTCCACTGTGCCTGGCATATCAGATCTACCTAGCCTTCGATGTGAGATCAGGTGGCAGCGTAGGACCACCAACACTGCGCAGGGGAATGTATGCAGGACTTTGTATCTCTTGACACGCTGCAAGCAAGTAGTGTTCAACCAACCGGGCTTCCCTGCGAATTCCCAGCATCCGTGAAACAGGAACTGATACCACGTTGTTTAGATCTCTTTCTGCTGGTCCCGGTGGGACTCTTGCTTCTGAAACGCAATACTGTACCTTGCATTCAGGCACACTCCGACACCAGACCCTCAAGCATGCGCTGCCGTCGAACAGTCCGCATCTTGAGCTGGTACCTGCGAGGAAAGCTGCTGCAAAAGGCGTTTGAAAGATTCTTTACATGGACCCCAAACTCTGCTACCATGGACAGGGCGCACAGGACCGCCACCAGCCCCGTCGGAAGGAAGAGAAGGATGCATGTCACTAAGGGTAGATTCCAGTACCTGCTGCGAGAATGTCCGGATGCATCAAAATGCTCTTGACACAGAATTTAAGTGCAAGGTGTCCACTGCAGTTTTCACGCGGTCTCTCTGTCACATCCCTTCTCAGTCTGTAGCGTCATTCAATCTGATTCTCTCCTTGTCTCTCATTCTTGCTCTCTGTTTCTCTCTTTCTCTTTTTCTCTCTTTTTCCCTTTCTGCCTTTCTCTCTTTCTCCCTCCCTCTGAGTCTCTCTCTCTCTGTGGATAACCACCAGGATGCTATGAGCCCCTGCAACAAATCTCGGGTACCATCGCCCGGAAGGCATCTCGCCGGATGGGATAGTGGCAACAGGTGCATCCTTGTTGTAGCCTGAGGAAACGGAACCAAAAAATGTCCAGCCCGAGTTTGAAAAAAACACAATGTCTGGGGATGCAACCTTTTTCCCACGGGCTTGGCATTTGGATCTGAGAGAGCAGCGCGTATGCGACAAAGTAAGGCCCTGTGACCACAAGGTGCTAATGAGCGGCTCCACCGAATAGAGCCAGAGGGATGAACGACAGCATGGGCAGGAAATAGCATGTCAGGACCTTGCTCGGACGTGTGAACGAAATCAGTTCTCCACACCTGGTACCATGTCCACAACAAGCAAACCCTTCGCCCTTCTACCCCAAAATGAAAATATGCTCATACTTTCGGCAGGACACCAAACATAGGAGTCGGATGCCACACCTCTGGCAAAAGCTTAGCCGCCTAAGCTCTTGTGACCAATGTGCGAGTTGCATCTGAAAGAATTCCACAAGCAACGATGACGGGCTCAGGACTTCATCAGGGAATGTGAGGTTTGAGGTATTTTGATTCCCGGTCGTGTAGATTTGTTCCGGTTTCTGGATGTATGTTATTGGTAGGCATCTCTTGCTCCAGCTGTTGCTTCTGCCTTTCCAGTTTGCCCATGGGCATTCTCAAAGACGACTACAATTTCTTGCTGTTAGCAAAACCCGTCTCCTGGCCCAAGGCTACCAAATCCCAATCCGAGGAATCGGCGGTCCATCTTCCGAATCACTGTCCAAATCAGAGCTGCCACCTTGGACAGTGTGAGACAACAATGCAACAAGCACTGGCAAAACCGACGCCAAAGAGGCGCATTTTGCTGAGGCCATGCCGCTCATGAAAGTTTAATTCAAGGTATCATTGTGACATTGTTCCAAATTCTCGTTGCCCAAACCCCATGCCACCTGTGCCCTCCATCTGCAAGTATGCCGCGCTTTCGGCCATACCTCGGTACCAGTGCTTGGATCGAGAAGCTGACAATTCGTACAAGGTTGCATTAAGATACGACGCAAAAACTCTCAGCGCTGCACCGGGCTGAAACGGTCAAAGGTCCCAAGCTAGAACTTTCCAATTGGACAGACACGTGCTAAGCTAACAAACTATTTTCCAAAACTGTTATGAATAATGTAAACTGTGAATGTTGCACCAAAACTGGCTGCAATTTTTGGTCATAACTGAACATGTCCAGGTCATTTGCAAAGATGCAAACAAAGAACACACATGCAAAATCAGCAAATCTGACCAGTGCTGCTTTTAAACGAACGTCTGGGAAAAACGAATTGTCAAAGCGTTTCCCGTCTACCATGGAACTTGCAGGAAACGGTGAGAACTTAACCTGTCTGCACAAGCAATCTTTGACGCAAAAAACGAAGTTAAACATTATCAAGCTTGCCATGATATCCAAATGGCATATCAGTTCAAAGAATGATCCAGATTGACATGTGAATCATATATGATACGAGAACGTTATCGTTATTGGGTCAATATACTAAAATGTTTCTAGCTGCATCAAATGTTATTTTGTCAAACGTGGAGTCGAAAATCATTCACGACATGAACACGTAGCACAATCCGTGCATACACCTTCTTTTTGCTTCACATTGGCGAGCTGGCGTTAATCTTGTGTGGGCGCATTGCCCCAGCAGATACACAGGCCGATCGCGTCATTTTCCAAGCGTGGGAGACAAAAAAATATTGGTCCCTACCAGACGCATAAATGAAAGATAAGCACAAAACAAGCATGAAATCTGATGAATTCACAAACGAAAAACACCCTGCAGTAGAAGTTGGCCTGGGATCATGTCAGTTGGAAATTCGTGCAAAAAACATAGCATGATTCGAATTCACAAAACCAATGAAATCTTGCACGAGAAATTGGCTTGGGATCATGTCAATGGAAAGATCATGAACACGAGATGCCCTGCCCCTCTCCTGACCACCGAAGCTGTCTGTCTGGCATTTTATAATTCAATATTGGATGCATCCGACGACAAGCTGATAAAATTTGCCAGTGTTTCCAAGTAGCATACCAGGTCAAACGGTTATCCACATGCCTACGAGTCATACCTGGTACTAAAATTATATTGGGCAATATCCCAAATTGCTTCCACGTGGCAGGGCAATCTAAGGCGCACGGCCTCAAAAATCTAAGGCGCACACACGCTCTGGCGCATCTAAGCCGCACAAAGGGCCCCTGATCCCAGTGACTGTTGATACTTTTGGAGACGCATCGACCAAAAATGTCAACAGGCACAAGATCAAAAGTGACGACAGTTCGGCACAGTTCGGCGTTTCGCGACCAGGACCCCCCCGATCCCTCTGACTGTTGACACTTCTGAGATGTAATGCAAGCCCAACAGTGCCGACAGTTCGGCGTTTCGCGACCAGGACCCCCCCGATCCCTCCGACTGCTGACACTTTTGAGATGCGAAAATCAAATGCAAGGTTGTGGATTTAGGGTTTACGGTTTTTTCTTCTTTTTTTTTAAACCCTGGGGACTTTTACGTCTGCACTCAGTGCACAGGGCCCGACGTTGCTTTGCTAGTCCACGTCAGCTTGCACCCTTTTGTCAACCGATGGCCCACGCACAACCCTAAGGACAACATGCGTTCCCCCATCAACACTTTGCACAGAAAGCACTTGTGCTATCGGGCTCACACTCTGCCCTTCTTGCTCGGTACCAGTGCTCCTTGGGCGTTTCGGCACCGGCCCTTCAAATCCCCTACCGCCACTCACATCTTGACCCTCAGCACGATTCACAGCAAAGCCCTGATCATCACCCCGAAGAGCATCCTGAATGGCCCTGTCATCTGCCGCTTGTGCTTCACGGGCTTGACGTTCTTCGCGAACTTCAAGAAGTAGTTCTTCCAGCATCAGGTCATGTTCACGCTGTAGGCTCTCTGGATCAGGCACCGAAGCTGCCGGGCTATATCTGCCGTACGCCGTTGCTCATTGACATGTGTTCCACCAGCGGCACACGCCCATTCGCCAACATCCATGTCGAGGTTCCTCCTCCTTCGATTCAATGCCCTTCATCTTTGGTTTTTCGCCCTCTTCCGAGGCCTCCACGGTGGTCTGTCGCCCCCCTCATCGTCACCCTCTTCCTTGCCACCATGACCTCCGAGGTGCCCAAGTTGCATAAGTGCTGCTTCATCAGCCTCAGGTGGCACCTGGTCCACTGCGCGCTGTAAGATGCTGCCCAACTCCATCATGAGCATACTGATGAAGGCTTGGAGGGACACTGCGAAGTTGGATAGCTTTCATAGACTCCTATCCTCCAGCGTGCACTGGGCATTGTCTCTCATGTACTGGGGCAGCACTGCATAGCCATCAATGGTTCCAGGTGGAAGGTCTCCGTGATCAAACTCCAGCAAGTGACGAAGGAGGGCCACACCATCCGTGACCGGTGGGGGTGTGTCTGGTCTTGCCCGCGGAGCCAGCCCTCGTTTCCGTAGTGCATGTTGCGGGCGTTGGAGCTGGATCCCTCCTCCACGGTCTCGCCAGTGGTGGGGCGCGCGAGGTCGCATTGTTCCTTTCCCTATCACGTGGCCTACTGCTCGTTGCATTGTCATCCCTGCTCGTCCTCCTTGATTTGCGATGCTCCATGAAACTCAGGCCATCATCTTCCTCGTTGACGAAGACCTGCATACATTTCTTGTCACTGCCGGGGCCACCCTTCTGCAGGACGGCCTCGGTCTCCATGTTAGGTAGGGCCTCGATGTACTCAAGAGGGATTTCCTTCGCGGCATGCCGAATCAGGTAAAGGCCAAGCTTACGCAGGGGGTAGGACACAGGCAGGATCATCACCGCTTGCTGAACGGCTTGGACCAACAATTCTCAACCTTCCCACATGCGCAACCTCCAAGCAGGACCGGTTGCTTTTGAAATTGCCCAGAAACATGTCTGATGAAAATCGCTGGATGAAAAACGCAATTCCAATAAAACGAAAACAGAAACCCCTCGGCCCCTCATGTCCGCTCATGAAAAGCCAGGACAGCTGCTGTTGGATCAGCTGTGGAACAAGTGTCATCAAACACAACAATATTCAGTAGATTGGTGGCCCAAGGGTCCAAAAGTTGTAAACAAGCAAAAAAACGGTAGCAGCAGCAGCAACGACGACAACAACAGCAGCCGCGTGAATGTCCAAAAGCCCATATTCGCACGCCTATCCTGATATCAAAACCCCCAGGCGAATGCCCGGCACTTCGAAAGCAGAATGTTCACATCGTCTGACAAAAAAAGACTCATCACAGCAAGTTGTCACATGTTCTGGTCTGTCACGTACCTAGGGAGCCACATGTAGTCCATCATCTTGGTGCGGCGGGCTGTGTAGGGGCCGATCTGCCCATGGGAGTCTACGTTCAGCGTGATCATCACTGAGGAGTCAGGCATAAACTAGTCATTCTCCAGGGCTATGAGAGCAACAGCTGTGTTGAAGTGCTCGGGCGTCATTTCGAGGCCGTCGCAGTGCCTTATGGCGGGGTCACAGGGACCCACTGCCAAATGTTGCGTATCACCCAAGGTGCATACATCCATATGCGTCGGCACCATTTCCTCGGGGAGGGGCGTTGTCGACAACAAGGTGCAATTCTCAAATTCCACGTAGTTGGTACACGCAAGGGGCGGTCCAGTTGCTCTTACGGCTTCCTTCACGCCATCATTGATTGTCAGAACGGATTGAGCCAGATGGTTATCTTTAAACACATATTCGGATTATTACGCATCCAATCAAATCATATCAAAATCAAAACTTCCTCACGAAATTCCAATCAAGATAATCAATCAAAAGATGCATATCAAAAGATGCACTGCAATCACACCATTTTTGCACGGTGGCGCGGATCCAACCTCGTCTTTCAACCACAACCATACGCTGATGGCTCAAGGGTGGAACCACACGAATAGAGCCCGAACAAGCAACCACAACCGACCGCAGGGGGGCTCACTATGCACACAGTCCTGTACAACTCGGCTGAGTTTGACCGTGTATCTGCACGCTACGGGTCTGCTGACGTTGCGCCTTCCGAAGGAAGTGTAAGTAATCCGCTTCGCGGTTCAAGCCTACATAAACCCTAGGCACAAGTCACCTAAAAGGAAGCTGGGAAAGACACGGGCATCCAGCTTGCACACAGGGCGGGTAGGGTGGGAACCAAATTGAATCTTGTGCCATAAATCACCGAAACATCAAGTGTCAAGCAATAGGCATGCGATCAAATCACTCAAGCATGGAGTTTGCCAACCAAACAAAATTCGGCGAAAGGTTTTTGAATTTTCTTCAGGCTTTCGCCAGGCATAAGGATGCATAACCAAACCTAAGTGGGCCCACCCACCCACCCGGCCAATCCTCCCTGACAAACCCATTGAGAGACCCAAGGAGCTTGTCAGAACGGATTGAGCCAGATGGTTATCTTTAAACACATATTCGGATTATTACGCATCCAATCAAATCATATCAAAATCAAAACTTCCTCACGAAATTCCAATCAAGATAATCAATCAAAAGATGCATATCAAAAGATGCACTGCAATCACACCATTTTTGCATGGTGGCGCGGATCCAACCTCGTCTTTCAACCACAACCATACGCTGATGGCTCAAGGGTGGAACCACACGAATAGAGCCCGACCGAAGGCGTGGGGTGTAACCCAAAGGAAATGACACGCTACCACTTGGTCTTCTCCGCCAGCTTTTGCTTCTTAGTTGCTGGAGAAGGAACAGGATGCTGCAACTTTTGATCTGAGCAAGCTAGCTCGAACTCCCGGTAGGCTGACTGCATTGTGTTAAAGATGGCCATGGGCAACATGTCAAGAGAAGCTTCGACCCGATTGCACAAGGAGAAACGCTCGAAACGCAAGTTGGTAATATCATCAGCCTCCACGTTTTCTTCGCGTGGACGCCACTGTAATCTCAGGCGGGAACCTGCTGAAAACGATTGCCCGGACACCCGACGTTGAGTAAGCGAAGCATATCATCCTGCCATCCGGGGTGCGGCTGGCAAGCTCGCCGTGGCCCTGCCCTTTGCCCTTCTTGCCCTTCTGCTCCTTCCCTTTGTGGGAATCTTTCCCTTTGCCTTTGCCAAATCCCTTGTCATTGCGACGCCATTTCCACGGCCGTCCACTGGGACGTTCATACCAGGTGTTCGGGGCGGGCATGCCACGATGCTGCAACGCAATCGGTGATGTAAAGAACTGCTCTTTTAACTGGGCATCATTCTGCACCTCCGCCAGCGTGTCCTTGAGAGCCCGACTGTCTCGAAAGGCACGTTTCACGGCCTCCTTTCGAAGCTCAAACTCGTAATTGATCATCACAGTCCAGGGAGGACGCAAAGCCACTTGCTCCGACATGATCTGCCTTAAGTGCAGCTCTCACATCCGACCTGCTATCAGCATAAGTAGAGAACTTCTTCACGTTCTTGAAGTGCTGACCAAGCTTGTACTGCAACCCGACAGGAACCCCACACTCATTAAAGATGTGGAGCAGCTCAGTAGTCAGATTTTTCTCGAAATAATCCAGAGCAGCGTCCTGCGTCACACCTGCCGGGAGATCCACGGCACTCATGGCAACCTGAGGATGTCCCCCTTTCGACCGAGGGTTAGCGACCACTCAAACTCCTGGAGCACAGCTCTCTTGCCCTCTTGCGACCGGGGCTTCACTCTCAAGTCCAAAGGACTTGCGTCAAACAACCAAAGGCTCAATTCGACCCGAGCCAAATGTGCCAGGCACATTCATTTACCACAATGGACAACCGGATAACTTCGAACAAGGCAGATGCAAAAGACTTGCCATCAAAACAGTTGACCACAAAAGCAAATGCAAGAGCAAAATTTTCTTTGCAAGCAGTCACTCAATCCCTGCCTGATGCCACCGAAGCCGCTGGAGCCTCAGCCTGCAAATCAACGATGTTACTATCCTCAGATCCACTGCTTGAGCTGCTGGCAGCGTTGGCCAACTTGGGCTTGCAAAGCTTGCAAAGGGAATCTGCAGCGGCTTCCTCCAAAGTAAAAATGCCAATGGTCTCTAGACATCTCTCCTGCCGTACGGCACATGCCTTAGCAAGATGGAGCCGCCTGTGACCTCTGCGTGACACAGTCACAAAGTAAGGAGCCTCGCCAAGACTCTCCTCAGCACTCCATGCATGGAAAGGTCCAGGCAACTGAGCCTCTATGTCACCAGAGGCCCCTTGCAATTGCTCCGGGGGGATCATGAGGTGAGGATACTTTCCATGAAGCTTCCAACATTTTGCGGCGGCGTCCCATTTGGACACCATATGCCTCCGAAGGATGACCGATTGGTCCAACGCCAGATCAGCACAAGCTTGCTTCACTCCAGCAAGAACCTCCTCTTCAATGTAACCTCCGTCAGCACTACCTTCCAAGATAGTCTTTGAAATCAGACTCTGAATGCCATGCACCACCTGGCGAGAAGTCAAGATATAGTCCTGCGAACCATGCTGCGCATAGCACCAACGGCCGAGGAAATCTGGACGACCCTTTCCAACATCCAATGCTGCAGCAATGCTTGGCAAAGTGTGACGAGCACTATGACCACTCCAATAAGTTCGTAACGTATCTGGCACAAGGAGATTTCTAGAAGTTGCCCACGCACCATTCTTCACGGTCGGCTCGCGAAGACAGCCCAGCATCCTGCGCAGCAACACCGCTAAACCCTCGGCCTCCAGGATCGTGTTCCTCTGCACTTCCCAAGTGTCATTCATAGCAGGGCAGAAGAAATCTCGCGACCAAGACAACTGTTCATTTGATAGTAGACGCATGCCCTCTGACAACCAATCGCGCTAAGGCCAGCTGAACGAGAGACATAAGCAAAGAGCTCGCCGACCTTGCGTCCAGGCCCACTAGTCTTGGTCTTCCGCAGACAGAACTTCAGCCCCACTTGGGAAAGCCTGACCGACTTCAAGTCCACATGCTGTAGATCGTCGGCTCGCAAGGTTGACCAAGTCATCAGCAATCCACAGAATGCCACAAATCGCAGTCCCAAAGATTGTGAAGTTGCGCAGAGCAGCAGCTCCATTGACAGCATGATCGCGATCGTATAAAGCGGTGCCTGCCTGACCCCCGGAGCCGCAGCCTCCAAATCAGCTGTCCAGGAACGGACTGTCTCCACTAGGATAGGGTCACCACTGAATCTCGCGTCAGGGGCAACTTGGCCAATCGTTTCCAACAGCGAAATCGAAGCAAGGAGCGCCTTCGGGACAGACTTGCCTATGGGCTTGATCTCATGCCTTTCTTCGAGATAACGCAAAATGCGTCCCACATTGCTAGGCCATGTCTCACCATGAGATGCCTGCAGCCACTCGCTGAATGTCGCCCATTCTCTAGCTCTGTTACGCAAGGACTTACCCCTCCTGCCACCGAAGAGTCTGACCCAGGCTTTGCTATCTGCATTGATTGCTTCCATCTCTGGTAGCGCATGTAGCGTACAGCCTCCCATGGGAATAGCCCTGACCCCGACTGCTCCGTGACAAAGAAGAGCACATTTCTCCAAGTTGATCCTCAATCCCCACTGCCCTAGTAAGGCCTGTAATTCCTGTACCCTAGATTGCAGTGTACTCGTTGCGGCAGCCCAACTTATCACGTCATCCATGAATGCCGCGCCATCCACTGAAAGACCCTCCATCCATGGTGAGTTATCCGCCCGACGATTCTTTGCCACAGCCAGTATAAGATCCATCAACCAGGCGAACATGGTTGGACTTTCCACCGAGCCCTGTTTCACTCCGACGCCATTCCTGAAACTACATCTGCCCCTGAGTGTATCCACCTTGGTTACACCAGCTTTCAAAAGGTCAACCAATGCCATGGTTTCGTGCGGATAGTACGGTCCAACTTCCTTGAGCAGTGTTTCAGCAAGACGAACACTGTCAGGAGCATCAAAAGCCTGGGCAATATCCATACGGATTAACGCCAATGATTGGGTTCCACTCCCTGGATAACTGGCATATATGGCACAAACTGAAAAGCACATCCGATGTCGGCTCAGCAACCTTTGCAAGCAGGGTCATGACGCTGGTGTTCCATGTGTCGGGCTTCGACTTTGTGAGAAAAATATCATTGAAGAAGGCCGCGAGTTCCCTACATCCATCATCTTTCTGGACAAGCTCTTTCAAAAGTTCCTGAGGAACCAAATCTTCACCAACAGACTTCCGATTACCCCCTAACATCACAGCACTACGGACCTCCTCCTGCGTGAGTGGGACAAAATCTGCCTGTACATAGGTGGCTTCGAACTCTCTGTTCAACCGCTCCAGCTTCTCGTCCAGATTAGGCTCGTGATCAAACCTGTCCTGAAAGAGTTGTCGAATCTCTGTAAGGGGCTCCTTCTCCGAGTCCAGTCCGAAGGAGTACTGCCACGCCGAAGCCCCCTGCCTCTTGACTGTGCGGTACTCACTCCAGTCGGTAGCAGCCTTGGTGATCCTCTCTTCTTTTGTCGACCTTCCCGATATTTGCGCAACGCATGCATGTAGGCCTTCCAGTCATCAGGGAGCCTAGTTGTTCTTGCCCTCTTCCTCGAATCCCTTCGCGCCTTCGGCCATGATTGCCTTGCGCTACATCTCTGTCTCGTGACCCTTTTTGCCAGATTTTCCAGTGTCTCCTGAGTAACGGGAGAGGGTACTGTAAAATCCCCGTGCTGAAGATCCTCCTGCCTTGGGGGAACTCGATCACGAGTTCGATTGTGACCTGCTCATGGTCTGCGCCAAGGATTTTCCTGGAGTCAACCGCAACCTTAGCCGGACTGCATCTACCCGGGGCACTGCACCACCAGGCGTCGATTTGTCCGCCACTTCCATCATTCTTTCTGGACCAATGAGTGTTGAGCGTGGGGTCTTCTTGAGGCACTACTGCTAGTCTCCTCTTCTGCACGGCGTCCTTCAGGGTTCTCAGCTTACTGTTGGTTGCCACTGCAACAGACTCGGTGTCACCCTGCAGCCATCCGAACGCGGTGTTCCAGCAGAAGCCATATCCCATGTTCCGAAGCCTTCCTTTTTTTGACAACAAACTTGTCAGTGTCAATTGCAATCCCCACTCCCCGCCAAGTATCCAGACCTTGATACCAGTGTAGGATGAATCGGCCACAATCTTCCGGCGCGTTCCACCCCGAATCTTTCCTCGGCATCTCCTGGAAACAAAAAACATCGCCCTCTTCAAGGGAGATGGCATGAAGATCATCTCGAATTCGCTGTCTGGCAACCCCCCCAACGTTCCAAGTAGTAACCCGAAGCGTATGGGCGGGCGTGAAACCGCCTCTGTCTCACTCCTCCATGAACTCTTCCCACTTATCCTCAGCCTCCTGGATCAGGATGCGTGTGATTTTGGAGAAGCGCTCGGAGCAGAACCACGCCTGGCCAGACTTCCCGTTCAAGGTGCGCTCTCCCTTGGGCTTTGGCTTAGTGGCAGAGCAGATCATGGTGTCGGCTACCCACAATGTTCCTGTACCATATTGTTTTACACAGGAAGTCTGGGGCCATAACATGTAGCATCTTCCGTCCTTTGCCTGCGTGACTCGACCGCTCTCTTTCCTGAGGGGACTTGTTAACCCCAGCCCAGACCGTACAATCAGGCTGTACCCCGTAGCCCGTCAACTTAGCCTCATTGATCTTGATAATGGCATCGATCATGCGTTTTTTGGCCTCGCCATATGTCTCACCTGTCCGTTGTTCAACGTTGAGTATGGCATAGCCCTTCTGACACCAGGACAAATCGGAGGCGAATCAAGGTGCTTTCTAAGCTGCAAGGTTTCCAGCACTGCGTTCACCTTGCCCACTATGTCATCTCTGCATGTGTCCGGACGCCACCCTCCAACAATTATCCCAAGTCTCCTCTCAAGGTCACCAATGGAGGTACTAGAAGGTGAGCCCTTAGCTTCCAGAGCCACGATCCTAGCAGCCAGGTCACTTTGCCCTCTCTTCACGTCGTCGATTTTGGCATCCTGTTGCGACACCTGGTGGCGGATGGTCTGGACATCCTGTTGCACCTCACTGATCTTCTTCAATGTGCTGGCCTCCAGTTTGCGGATGGCTTTGCCAATGTCATCCGCCGTTTGCTGCCGAATGTCGCGAGTCTGCGCTTCCAACAACTTCTGCAAGGAGGACAGCGTGATTTCACCCTCCTTCTTGGGGTTCTTGGTGGGGCTGTCATCCCCAGTCATGGCGATGTCCCTTTTCTCGCCTCTTTGCCCGTCCTGCATGTCCTTAATCGCACCCCTGAACACGGCGGCCTCTCTCACCCCTGGGAGGGGGATGGGAACTGGGCGTTCGCGCGGAGAATCGGGTAGCAGGGCTCCTTGTCAACGAGCAGCAGCACAGCGCCAGCGGATGGCTCAAGCGGACAGAAACTATTGTTTCAGGCTATTTGGTTTACGGAATTTGGATTCAAGGTTTAGGGTGGTTTAAGGGATTTGAATTTAGGGTTTAGGGTTTAGGCTTCAGGGGCTTTGGATGTAGAGTTTGGGTGTTTAGGGGTTTTGGATTTAGGGTTCAGGGTCTAGGGGGTTTGGATTTACGGTTTAAGGTTTGGGGGCTTTGGATTTAGGGTTTAGGGTTTTGGGTTGGGGGGTTTTGGATTTAGGGTTAAGGGTTAAGGGGTTTTGGATTTAAGGTTCAGGGGTGTAGGTGTTTAGGGGTTTTGGATTTAGGGTTAGGGGTTTTGGGTTTAGGCTTAAGGGGTTTGGATTTAGGGCTTAGGGGTGCAGGGGTTCGGGAGTTTTGGATTTAGGGTTTAGGGTCTTGGGGTTTTGGAATTTGGGCTCAGGGGTTTTGATTTAGAGTTCAGGGTTTAGGGGTTTTGGAGCTGGGGGTTTAGGGGTGCAGGGATTCAGGGGTTTTGGATTTAGGGTTTCGGGGTTTTGGATTTAGGGTTTGGGGTTTTGGATTTAGGGTTTACGGATTTGGGATTTAAGGAGGGTTTCAGGTTTAGGCTTCAGGGGTTTTGGATGTAGAGTTTGGGTGTTTAGAGGTTTTGGATTTAGGGTTTAAGGTCTAGGGGGCTTGGATTTACGGTGTAGGGTTTATGGGGTTTTGGATTTAAGGTTTAGGGCTAAGGTTGGGGGCTTTTGGATTTAGGGTTTAGGATTTAGGGGCTTGGGATTTTCAGTTTAAGCTTTAAGGGTTTTGAATTTAGGGCTTAGGGTTAGGGAGTTTTGGATTTAGGGTTTAAGGGTTTTGGATGTAGGGTTTAGAGGTGCAGGGGCTTAGGGGTTTTGGATTTAAGGTTTACGGCTTAGGGGTTTTGGATTTTGGGTTTAAGGTCTAGGGGGTTTGGATTTTGGGTTTGAGGGTTTTCGAGTTGAGGGTTTAGGGGTGTAGGGGTTTAGGGGTCTTGGATTTAGGGTTTAAGGTTTCGGGGTTTTGGATTGAGGGTTTAGGGTTTTCGGGGTTTGGGATTTAGGGCTTCGGGTTCAGGATTAAAGGTTTTGGATATACTGCATTTTGGTTTAGGGGTTTAGGATTTGAGGTTTAGGGTCTAAGGGTTTTGGATTTGGGGTATTTGGGGTTTAGGGGTTTTGGATTTAGGGTTTAGGGTTTAGGTTTGAAGGGGTTTGGAATCAAAACTTTGGGTTTAGGGTCAAGGTGTTTTGGATTTAGGGTTTAAGGGTTTGGTGTTTGCGGTTTTGGATTTAGGGTTTAGGGTCTGGGGTTTGGGGGTTTTGGATTTAGGGTTCGGGTTTTAGGGCTTAGGGTTAAGGCGTTCTCGATTTAGGGTTTAGTGGTGTTGGGATTTGGGGTATAAGGGTTTTTGACTTAGGGTTTGGGGTTTTGAATTTTGGGTTTGAGGTTCAGATTTTTGGATTTAGGATTTAGAAGTGTAAGGGTTTAGGGTTAAGGGTTTTGAATTCGGGGCTTGGGGTCTAGGGGTTTTGGATTTTGGGATCAGGGGCTCTGGATTTAAGGTTTAAGGTTGAGGGGTTTCGGAGTTGGGGGTTTAAGGGTCAAGGGTTCAGGGGTCTTGGACTCAGGGTTTAGGGTTTCGGGGTTTTGGATTGAAGGTTCAGGGTTTACGGGCTTTGGATTTACTGCTGACATTTTAGGGTTCAGGGGTTTAGGATTTAAGGTTTAGGGTCCAAGGGTGTTGGATTTGGGGTATTTGGGGTTTAGAAGTTTTGGATTTAACGGTTTTGGAATCAGGGTTTTGAATTATGGGTTCTGGATTTAGGGTTTTGAATTTTGGGTTTTGGATTAAGGGGTCTTGGATTTAGGGTTTAGGGGTGTAGGTGTTTAGGGGTTTAGGATTCAAGGTTTAAGGTCCAAGGGTTTTGGATTTAGGGTTTAGGGTTTGGGGGTTTTGGATTTAGGGTTTAGGGGTTTCGGATTTAGGGTTTCCGGGTTTTGGATTTAGGGTTTAGGGGGTGGGTTTTGGATTTAAGGTTCAGGGGTGTAGGTGTTTAGGGGTTTAGGATTCAAGGTTTAGGGTCCAAGGGTGTTGGATTTGGGGTATTTGGGGTTTGGAAGTTTTGGATTTAGCGGTTTTGGATTTAGGATTTAGGGTTTAGGGGTTCTGAATTTAGGGTTTTGAATTATGGGTTTTGGATTTAGGGTTTAGGGGTGTAGGTGTTTAGGGGTTTAGAATTCAAGGTTTAAGGTCCAAGGGTTTTGGACCGTTTGGGATTTAGGGTTTAGGGGCTTCGGATTTAGGATTTCCGGGTTTTGGATTTAGGGTTGAGGGGGGGGTTTGGATTTAGGGTTTAGGTTTGCGAAGTTTTGGATTTAGAATTTTGGGATTAGGGTCACGGGGCTTTGGATTTTAGAGTTTAGGGGGAAAAGGATCCGCTATCTTGTTTCGTTTCCAGCAGCATACGGTTACCAGAGCATCCAAACCATAACAACGTTCCTGTTCGAGTGCACTCGATGATGAGAGCATCCAGGCCCAAACCATAATACGGTTCGTGTTCGGGTGCACTCGATGTTGAAAGCATCCATGCCCGAACCATCATAATGTGCTTGTTCGCGTGCGCTCAAGGATCGATGGGGGACACTCGATGTTGGGAGCATCCATGTCCAAACCATAATAGCGTTCGTGTTCCAAGAACATACGGTTACCAGAGCATCCATGCACAAACCATCATAACGTCCGTGTTCGAGTGCACTCGATGATGAGAGGACGACCGCAGCACCTGGAACCATCGAGTGCACTCGAACACGAACGTCATAATGGTTTGGACATGGATGCTCTGCTAACCGTATGCTCTTGGAACACGGACATGACTATGTGTTGGGCATGGATGCTCTTATCATCGAGTGCACTCGAACACGATCGTTATAATGGTTTGGGCATGGATGCTTTCATCATGGAGTGCACTCGAACACGATCGTTATTACGGTTTGGGCATGGATGCTCTCAAGATCGAGAGCACGCGAACACGATCGTTATTATGGTTTGGGCATGGATGCTCTCAGTGTTCGAGTGCGTTCGAGCTTGAGAGCATTCGAAAACGAACGGTCTACGTGGGCAGTGTAGCTGCTGCGGCGTACGCGATGCGGTGTAGGTCCTGTGCTGTGTGTGGCCGGTGTAGGCGCCGCGAGGTACTGGCGCGAAGGCGTTGCCGCGGCGCTGTTAGCGCTGCCATGATTCCGAAGAGACGTCTCCGGGCACTCCACGCGCCAGCGCCGCCGCCCACCGAAAACGGCGAGAGCGCGGTCGATTGCGACAGGAATTCTCGGGACCCTCCACTCGCCAGCGCCGCCACCTGCCGAAAAACCACGAGAGGATCGTCGACTACGAAAAGAATTCTGAGGACACTCCACGCACCAGCACTGCCGCCCGCGGAAAACGGCGAGAGGGTGAGCGATTACGACAAGAATTCTCGGGACCTGCACTCACAAGCGCCGGCACCCTCCAAAAACCCTCGCCGCCACCTCCCAAAATCACGAGAGGGTCGTCGATTCGAATTATGAGGACGCTCCACGTGCCAGCGCCGCCACCCACCAAAAATAGCGAGAGGGTTGACGATTGCAGACTACGAAGAGAATTCT